TTTTTTCACTGACCCCTGTGTGCAAAGAGATTGTGACTGACAATGGTCTCACTTGACTCACAATAAAATCAACATTTTGCCTGTCAAAATTTACCATTAATTTGACTGTAAATCAGCTATCTCTTTTACTATCCTTACTGTAAATCTTGACAGATTTAATAACCTTTTTCAATTTAACAGAAATTTTCATTTTTATGAGAAAAAGGTGTTTATTATATCTTAGTATCTCAGTTACTGTGTCACCTTTCTTGTAAATTAATTTCATGTATGAGACTTTATGATATATTAAATCAAAATAAACATTTAAGATTGCAAAAAAATGTAAAACGTTAAAAAAAACGACCAAAATATTAGCTTTGCAAATATTATTTTATTGAAGGCTGTGGTGGTAATTACACAACACCTAGTGGCACCATTGTGTCAAAGAACTTTCCAAACAACTACCCACACAATACAGACTGTGAGTGGCTTATCACTGTAGATGAGAGACACACGGTTGAACTGACTTTCACAGATTTTGATGTGGAATCAGCATCTGACTGTAGATATGATTATGTGGCAGTAAGTTTCTTCTTATTTCTTTTTCTTTTAGGTTTTTAGCTCACATGAGTACAAAGTGCTCAAGGTGGACTTACGTGATCACAATTTGTCTGGGGTTGGTTAGTGCATCCGTGCTTCTGTCATAAATTTTTTGTCAAGCCCACATGCGGATAGCGCCACAAAGTTGTCACACTGTAAGTTCGATGTATGTACATGCTTGCTTAAGTCTTGGTTTGTCCATTTTTGTTATACTTGTCTGAGGTGTAACTCTGTCATTAGAAGGCAGAATTTCAAATAACTTTGCACAAATTTTCACAAAAATGAGACAGTGTGTCAGGCACCAGAACCATGTGGCTAGGTCAAAGGGCAAGGTCAAACTTTAAGGTCAAATGGCAAAAAAAAAAATGGGCTCAAACAGCTTGTCTGCATCATAACTATATCACTAGCTGGTGGAATTGAAAATAACCTGGCACAAACTTTTTAACATCATGAGATGGCATGTCATGCAAAAGAACCCTGTGGCTAGGTCAAAGGTCAAGGTCATACTTTAAGTTAAAATGCAAAAGAATGGTCTCAAACAGGCTGTCCGCGCCATCAGTCTATCACTAGCTGATGGAATTGCAAATAACCTGGCACAAATGTTCAACATCATGAGATGGCATGTCATACACAGCAACAGTTTGACAAGGCCAAAGTTCAAGGTCATACTTAAGGTCAGATGTGACAGTTGGCTGGACATTGCCCTTGGGCGTGTAGTTTTCAAACGACTTCTCCTTTGAAACCAATTTGATGAAATTTTATTGAGATGCTCATATCATGAAACTCTAATAAAATTGTTTAAATGGCTTTTCTGTGAACGTAGGTCAGAAGGGCTATGAATAGTTATTTTAAAAATCTCCTCTGAAAGTGATAGACCAAGAGCTTCGATATACCACAAAAATCTTCCTCTTGAAAACTGCTAGGGCTATATCTTAGATATGTTGCATGTAACATTGTCTAGTGGATCTATAAAAAAATTTCAAATTATAACCCTTGTGTCAAAATTGGCATGCATTTTCCTTATTTGTAACAATTATAGTCTGCACTGTTTGCATTTTGAGTCTGTATATATTTGGAAAATTTCTCTAAATATATTAGGGGTGTCATGGTTAGTTGATACAATACATCAATATTGTTTCTATTGATGACAGCTCTACATTTAAGTGTCAGATAAATAAATCTTTTCATTAGAGTTTAATGTTAGCTATATATTGACTCAGACAAATTGGAAATGGAATAAAGTCATGAAGTTTATCTTACGAACTTGTTATTATACAGCTTTATGATGGACCAACTGTCAATTCCACAGAACTCCTTAAATTCTGCGGATCAACACTTCCATCGCCTGTAAAATATAGGTCAAACGGAAACCAAATGTATGTTCGTATGCGGACAGACAGTTCAGTAAGTGCTAGAGGATTTAAAGCTGATTTTGTGACAGGTATGTATAGCAAGAGATGTGAAAGTATTTGATTATGAATGAATTGTACAATGCAAACTTTTTTTCTCTTATTCATGAGTAAGGTCAGACTGGTGTTTCCGTTAGTTTAACCTATGCCTGAACTTGTTGGGGGTGTGGGTGGGGGTGCCAGATGAGTCACATGCTATACTCATACCAAGGATGACTTTATTTTGCTGTTTAAAATGTATGAAGTTGTAGTTTCATATGCTGTAAATGTAAGAAAACAGTTACTGGTGTAATAACATAAATTTCCGTGGAAAATTGTTTTCTTAAGGTAAAGAAATTAAAATGTGATGGAGTATGGTAGAATATGCAAGAAAAAAATATCTGACATGTTTACAGTTCGAATATCCGTCTCTCGGGATTTACCCGTCCATGGGTGGTAACACAGCAAGCCTGGTTACCACCCACTGGGGAGGAGTCATACACAGACAGATATTTCAATTTGAACAACATATGACAGATATTATTACTCTTAAAGGGTGTTGCTGTGCAAAGGCTGTTATATATGTAATTATATTTTCATGAAAGATACTAAAAGTTAAGTGAGTTTATTACCCATTATCAGGTTGTGGTGGAATAATCAATGCTGAGGATGGGGATGGAGAGATCGTATCACCAAATTACCCTGGCGCGTACCCCCGCGGGAGCAATTGCTCATGGGTTATCATGGCAGAACATGGCAGTAAGTATCAGTTGACTGGATAATGTTTATGAAACATTTTGGTCACAAGGTTGACTTTATTGACCTAATTATCTTGATATTCAATAGCTTTAGCTTATAGAATAACCTTGACATTCAACTAATTACAATAGCTTTAGCTTGTAGAATGACCTTGACTTTCATCTTATTACAATAGCTTAAGCTTGTAGAATGACCTTGACATTCAACTAATTACCTTAACATTCTTCTAATGACTCTGACATTGATCTTTTCCATATAATAACATTGTCTTTAAAGATATATTTATGCTCAAATTTGATATTTGGATAAAATTGAATTTGTTTTAAACTCTACTCAGTTAAGGTAATCACAGTATCATTACATAGTGTCATTAAAAAAAAGACTGGCAGTTTTCGTAATCATAGAACAAATTTATTTGACAAGTAGTATGGAATGCAGCCACTCAAACAAAGTTTATACATTTACTTATTCAAATTAGACTTATTTAGAAAAATTGCTAGATTTCAATAAAGTTTTGCAACAGAAGTATTTTACCCAAAAATGAGCAAAGCACATCTTTAACCTAATTCCATGACATTATATTTATTATTTCAGCTGATAGAATAACCGTGACATTTACTCACATATATTTATTTCAGCTGAAAGAATAACCTTGACATTTACCCACATATATTTATTTCAGCTGATAGAATAACCTTGACATTTACCCACATATATTTATTTCAGCTGAAAGAATAACCTTGACATTTACCCACATATATTTATTTCAGCTGATAGAATAACCTTGACGTTTACCCAGATATTTATTTCAGCTGAAAGAATAACCTTGACATTTACCCAAATATATTTATTTCAGCTGAAAGAATTACCTTGACATTTACCAGCATATATTTATTTCAGCTGATAGAATAACCTTGACATTTACGCACATGGATCTGGAGGAGTCAGATGATTGCAGCAAGGACTATGTTTTAGTATTGGATGGTGACAATGACCAAGCTCCTTTAATAAACAAATTATGTGGACGTGTCTCGCCCTCGGCGATCACGTCACAGGGCTCGGCACTGTTTGTGCAGTTTGTGTCTGACAATTCTCTAGTGGCATCAGGATTTAGAGCAACTTATTCAAAATCATCATCAGGTACATCTCCTATTTTTATTTTGGATGTTTGTTTTAATCATCAATTTTACCTCCATCTCAAAATATATTGGAACAAATGATTTCTAGATTTTCATCCTTACATCCTATCTTGCTACAGTTTCTTGCAGAGCAATTTATTGGCTGACATTTGGAAGCTATGATGGTCTCAAAAAAGTTTCCCTTAGTTTATTATCAAGGTTGTTTGAGAAAGCAAGTTTTCCGGTTTAGATATAAATGGATAGCATCTGATTTGTTACCGATGTGTTGATAGTTTTATCCACAAACAAGACGTGATACTTTATCTTGGACATAAGTCATGTTGGTCATATTGTGCAATTTGTTGGAGACCAGCATGGATCAAGACCAGCCTGCGCATCAGCGCAGTCTGATCAGGATCCATGCTATTGGCTATCAGTTTCTTTACTTGTTATAGGGTTTGTAAGCGAACAGCATCCACTCAGTCTGATCAGGATCTATGCTGGTCGCAAAATCAATATGTGGGTTTTGTCATGGCGTGGCTCATTTATTGATATTCCCTGTGTAAAGAGAATGAATTTCAATAATAAAAGTTGGTCATTAAGAATTTAATGAATATATTATTTTCTTTACATACTTACAGCATGTGGTGGAGATTACACTTCCATGCTAGGGTCATTTACTAGTCCAGCCTACCCAAACAACTACCCTATAAATACAGAGTGTGTGTGGACAGTCAGTGTATCCCCTGGTAACAGAGTTCAACTTTCATTCAGGTAAGTTGTTGCAGAACTCTGCAAAACCCTCAGTACCCAGAAAAAACATGAGTGAAACTTTAAAAAAAACAAGGATTGGAGTACCAAACTAAGTACTGTATTCCGGTATATACATACTAAGGACTGTTTGAATGATTAAATGCTAATTAAAATATCGCCTTTTTGTCCATTGATATGTACTTATCTGTCACTTAAAGAAGACACAAGGGCGTTTTTGTCCACTTTTGATACCAGCAGGATACAAATACTAAATATTTAACCAATAACCTACTAAATTTCTTGAATGGACTTGCCTAGCTTCCATTTTTGTAGTGGGCTTGGCTCTATACTGTTGGCAAAGGCTTATCACTATGACTTAAAGAAGTGTAAGGATAAATAATTACATCATTTGTATTTCCAGTGAATTCAACCACATTATTTTTATTTCCAGTCTGTTCAACCACATTATTTTTAATTTACAGTCCGTTCAATCACATTATTTTTATTTCCAGTTTATTCAACCACATTATTTTGATTTCCAGTCTGTTCAACCACATTATTTATATTTCCAGTCTGTTCAACCATTTTTTTAGCTCACCTGTCACAAAGTGACAGGGTGAGCTGTTGTGATCGCTTTTCGTCCAGCGTCCATCCATCCGTCTGGCGTCTGTCCGTCGTCTGTAAACTTTTACTTTAAATGACATCTCCTCATAAACCACTAAGCCAATTTCATCCAAACTTCACAGGAATGTTCCTTTGGTGGTCACCTTTGAAAATTGTTCAAAGAATTTAATTCCATGCCGAACTCGGGTTGCCATGGCAACCAAAAGAAAAAACTTTAAATGTCTTCTTCTAAAAAAACAAAAGAGCTAGAGCTTAGATATGCAGCATGAAACATCTTCTAGTGAGTGTCTACCAAGTTTGTTCATATAAAAGCCCTGGGGTCAAAATTTGCCCGCCCCAAGGGTTCATTGATTTTTCCTATATTCATATAGTAAAAACTTAAAAAATCTTGTTTTAGAGAACCCAAAGAGCTGGAGCTAAGAAATTTAGCATGAAACATGTTCTAATGGATGTCTACAAAGTGTGTTCAAATAAAAGCCCTGGGGTCAAAATTGGCCCGCCCCGGGGGTCTTGATTTTCCCTATATGCATATAGTAAAAAACTTAAAATATCTTCTTTTAAAGAACCCAAAGAGCTAGAGCTAAGATATTTAGCATGAAACATGTTCTAATGGATGTCTACCAAGTTTGTTCAAATAAGAGCCCTGGGGGTCAAAATTGGCACCGCCCCAGGGGGTCATTGATTTTCTTTATATGTGTTTAGCAGAACTTAAAATATCTTCTTTGAAAAAATTAAAAAAGCTAGAGTTTAGATATTAAGCACGAAGCATCTTCTAGTGAGTGTCTACAAAATTTGTTCAAATAAAAGCCCTGGGGTCAAAATTGGCCCGGCCCCAGGGGTCATTGATTTTCCTTATATGTGTATAACAAAAACTTAAAAAATCTTCTTTGAAAAACCCAAATAGCTAGAGTTTAGATATTATGCATGAAACTTCTGCTAGTAAGTGTCTACAAAGATTGTTCAAATAAAAGCCCTGGGGTCAAAATTGGCCCCACCCTGGGAGTTATTGATTCCTTATATGTGTATAGCAAAAAACTTAAAAATCGTCTTCGAAAAATCCGAATAGCTAGAGTTCAGATATTAAGCATGAAACATTTTCTAGTAAGTGTCTACAAAGATTGTTCAAATAAAAGCCCTTGGGTCCAAACTGGCCCTGCCCCAGGTGTGTCACTGTTTTTAACTATATGTGTAAAAAAAATACTTGACCAGCTAGAGCTTAGATGTTTAGCATGGAACATCTTCTAATGGGTGTCTACCAAGTTTGTTCAAATAAAAGCCCTGGTGTTTAAACTGGCCCGCTATGGGAGCCTATATACAGGTGAGCAACTTCAGGGCCATCATGGCCCTCTTGTTTGTATTTCCAGTCTATTCAGTCACAATTTATATTTCCAGCCTGTTCAACCACATCATTTGTATTTCCAGTGTATTCAAACACATTATTTGTATTTCCAGTCAATTCAACCTTTAACAACATGAAAACTGTAACTATGATTATGTTGAACTTCATGAGGGAGAACTTGGTGGACCGTTGTTGGGCCGATTTTGTGGAACAGATATCCCAGCAAATCTTACAGCATACAATGGCCTTTGGATAAAGTTCAGGTCTGATGAATCTGCAACAGGACAGGGATTTATAGCATCTTATTCAGCGGGTACAATGTTTTCTATATTCTAAAGCAGCCCTTACAATTTGAATATTTAAAGGGCGGTCTGTGACCAAGTGGTTAAGTAAAAGTGCATGACTCCAGATTTCTTCAATAATTCTTCGAGAAAATAAACTTAATATAAAATTAACTTTCTGTTTAAGAAATGTACCAAGTATCACAGATTACTTTCACCAAAATTTTCCTTGTTACTAACTTGCAAAGAGAAGTATCTGTATATAATAAGGCAAGTCCTGGGTAATGAATGCCTTACGATGAATTTATTCTTGTTATTTGTGGCGTCATGACCAAGCGATTAATACGTCACGCTAGTAATCTAAGGATCTAGCAGTGTGGGTTCAAACCCATCATTGGCAAGCAGTTGTTTCTGTGGGCAAGAAACTTTACACTCATTGTTTAGTACTGGTTGGTTTCAGGAACAGATTTCAGAGTGTGTCTATAACTAAAAGCTTCTTACATAATCCCACTAAGATAAATACTTTATAAATTAATAATCTCATAATTTTTACACTTGATAACATGTACTCATTGGAGCCATTTTTAAGTTTTGATGAAATTTGGCTCAAGTTAGGAGGCTGTAATACTTAAAATATGTTTTTCTGGGTGTTTCAGCCTTTGGTGGTGATTTGACAGGAAATTCAGGACAGATTGCCTCTGCTCTCTACCCGTTGATGTATCCACACAATGTTGATCACATGTGGACTGTCACCGTAGCAACCAATATGAGAGTAAGAGTTTCGTTTACAACGTTAGATATGGAAAGCTCATGGCGTGGATGTTCCTTTGACTTCTTAAAAGTAAGTTTTGAATAGCTAGTGAATCAAGCTTCAGGATTTTTCTGTTGAATCCCATGGTACTACTGTAGGTTGAATTGTTAAGCCAGCATACTGTAATTGGGGGTGTTCTGTACATACCTAGAAGGAATATGTCCTATTTTCCTTGTCCAATCTTTTACTTGAGAAAGCTGAGGTATAATTGTAACTTGGTAAAGACATTGCACATGGCCCAGTTTTTGATTTTGAGGTCATTAAGACAAAGGTCAAGGTCAAAGTGACACCTAATGTAAAATCCTTGTCAGATCAATAACTTGAGAAGGAATAAATGATAATGGCCAAAAACTTGCAATACTCCTTTAAACTTTGGATAGTTGATTACTTGATAAAACATAAAAAAATATTGCTGTTGATTTTGCTTTGAAAATTTCTTAACTATCATCATTTTCACTGCCAGACTTTTCACAGATTTACCAAAAAATATTCTTTTTGTAATTTAGATTCTGAATTTCCATTTCCCAGATAAGAGATGGTGGAACTATGGATAGCCCGGTTGTTGGTACATACTGTGGCACCGATTTACCGGATGTGTTCATCTCTACCACAAATCAGATTCATGTGGAGTTTCATACTGATTGGTCAAGTACGGGACAAGGCTTCCTGTTGAACTGGGAGGCGACATCAGATGGGCCAATCACAACACCAGCCCCAACAGCTGCAACAACTCCAGGTGATGAATTTATTTGTCAGCTGTGTTTTAATATGCTCACCTTTGTAACCTAAAACCAGCTAAATTTCCAAAATGGATTTGTCCAGATTCCATTTTTGGAACTGTCTGTAGTTAGTTTTGGGAATTATCAAGGTGAAAAATTAAAGTATGTACATGTATGTCAACAGTTTATATAGAGCCTGGTCAATCTGCTCTCATATGCAGGCTGGCCTGGCTGTATACTGGTGACAAATGCATTCAGATATCGCTGAAGTTTAACGAGAGCGCAAAAATCAGAGACTAGCGGAAAACCCAATATTCACCGAAGTGTGCAAAGGATTGTGGGTCTGTATCTGACTGTAGTCTATTTTGGGGGCTGGGACCCATCTGTTGTATGAATATCTGTGGCCATGTTTTCCACAATTTCTTATGCCAAATATTATGTACAACTTTTCAAAGATTTTGTTTCTTTTGTTTAAAACACATTAAGAATAATATCTTACTCTATGTATTGCATTATTTTACAAGATAGTATATATATATATACATTGTATTCAGAAATTAACAAACAGAAAGGTGAAGATTTTGCTAATTATATTCAATGTAACTGGAAAAGATTTTTGGATGATTGTTTTATATTTTGGCAAAGATCTCTAATTGATTTATTATATTTTGAAAAAATACTTAATTCACTTCATAAAGATATACAATTTAAGAAACAACAAAGTACAGACAGACTTCCGTTTTTAGATGTAATGGTATTAAGAAAAAGGAACATATATAGTCACTGATGTATATTTTTTAAAGTAACTGATTCCTAAACAATATCTAAATTTTAAAATCGTGTCATCCAAAAAACACATTAAAACAATAATATCCCGTTTTCGCTAGCAAGAAGAATATGTGCAATTGTTCTGATAAAGGGAATACTTAAGATTAGACTTAAGGAACTCGCCATCACTCTAATTAAAAAGAAAAATTTCCAATTCAACTTATAAAAACTGGTATTAAAAAAGCTTTGGAGATTCCCCGAAACCACCTTACTTCAAGTTAAGGAGCAACCAAAAAACAAAAATTCCCCTTTCATAATATTTCAACATGTAACCCGAAAAACAAGAAGAATTGATTTGGCATAATTAAAACCAAACATGGAAAATTCCTGAAACATGAATGAAAAAATGAAAAAGATAATAAGCAATACCAACATAAAAATGCAAAAAGACAATTACCAAATTTAAAAAAAGCATTTTAATAAGTTCAGAATTTAAAGAAAACAATATATGCCCTGGGTGTTAAAAAATGCAACGAACAGAGGTGTGGCCTCTGTGATTATTTAATAGAAGGATATTCTTTAAAAACTTCAGAATAAAATATTTCATACAAAAGAAAATATGGACTGTACTGTTGAAAATGTTTATTATGTTTAGTTTGCAACGGCTGCAAAGAATTTTACATAGGCCAAACAGGTGACAAACTCAGAAACAGAAAAAACTGTTCATGCTCAGCAGATAAAGACCCATTCAACCAGACAATTACCTTAAGTGAGCATTAGGATAAATGCTCTAAAAAGACCCGAAATTTTTTGTATTTCCCATTTATAAATTTCACAGTAAAAACGTTTTCAGCTAGGTTATCTAAAGAACGCTATTTTATTAATCCAAAACTTAATACTATATAATGACGTTACTATTTTTAGATTATGCGTACACATGTGTACACAAAAACGTCGTCGTTACTATGCGACGACGTCACATTTGCCCTGATGATCAAAAAGAAGAAACCGGTTGGCAAATAATTAAATAAGTTAACTCATGGACTGTGTTTTTTGTTTTATTTATATGTGACTTTTTTCGGCACTTGTTTTCATTTTTTGTATATATATATATATATATATATATATATATATATATATATATATATATATATATATATATATATATATACTGAAAGGTATTGTAAAATACCGCATTTTGGTGGCCATTTTGAATTTTTGCCACCATTTTGATTTTTCGGAAGGGGTCTCATGAAATTTTTATATCTGCTTAAAGATAAGCAAAAAAAATCTCTATATTTCATAAAAAGCACCACATATTTTACATATTTAAAGTCAGTTTCCCCCTCCCCCCATTCTGAAATTCACAAAATGAGAAAGTTTGCTATATACATGTTTTGTTCCTTATTAAAGTGTTTGTTTATTTGACAGATGTTTGTCAGTCAAAAATGACAAATGTTATGTCAGCTGTTGTCTAAATGAAATGATCAAAGTACATTGTACATGTACTGTTTTTTGTTGTTATTGTGGATCTATTATGAAAGTGAATTTACATTTGGCATTTTGAGACAAATTAACTGAACTTCGAAAGTTAAACCCCATAGTAAAGTTGTTCATGCTTATTACATTATCACCTTTTGTGAATGACAAACAACTACCTTACAATAAAGTGAATGGTCTTGATACAGTGCTAGATAATGCCATGTGTTGTCTGAAGTCACATTGCACTATATAACTACATGTGTTGTCTCATATCATGTTGCACTACTAGTTTAGATAATGCCAAATGTTGTCTGATGTCATGTTGCACTAGATTGTGCCATGTGTTGCCTAAAATAATGTCATGTTGCACTAGAAAATGCTGTGTGTTGTCTGAAGTCATGTTGCACTAGATAATGCCATATGTTGTCTGATGTCAAGTTGAACTAGATTGTGCCATGTAGTGTCTGATGTCATGTTGCACTAGATTGTGCCATGTGTTGTCTCAAGTCATGTTGTACTAGATTGTGCCATGTGTTGCCTAAAATAATGTCATGTTGCACTAGATAATGCCGTGTGTTGTCTGAAGTCATGTTGCACTAGATAATGCCATGTGTTGTCTGAAGTCATGTTGCACTAGATAATGCCGTGTGTTGTCTGAAGTCATGTTGCACTAGATAATGCCATATGTTGTCTGATGTCAAGTTGTACTAGATAATGCCGTGTGTTGTCTGAAGTCATGTTGCACTAGATAATGCCATGTGTTGTCTGAAGTCATGTTGCACTAGATAATGCCATATGTTGTCTGATGTCAAGTTGTACTAGATTGTGCCATGTGTTGCCTAAAATAATGTCATGTTGCACTAGATAATGCCGTGTGTTGTCTGAAGTCATGTTGCACTAGATAATGCCATATGTTATCTGATGTCATGTTGTACTAGATTGTGCCATGTGTTGCCTAAAATCATTTCATGTTGCACTAGATAATATCATGTGTTGTCTGAAGTCATGTCGTGTTTCTCTAGATTATGCCATGTGCTGTCTGAAGTCATGTCATGTTGCTCACACTATGTTGCATTTCTGCCCCTGGGTTTCTATATTGTACATTTGAAGATTTTACCCTTTTGTGGCCAGTCTGTGATTTTATGTAATTATCTATTATTTGACTGTCACTGATGTGTTTCAAAATGTGATGTTACTTTTAATAATTGGTTGCTTATTTTTTCACTTTATATATATGTTAATATTTTATATATGTTATATTTTATATTTATAATGTTTACAAGTGTACTTTTATGGTAGCTAATCTTTTATTCAAATAATACTTATTCAGTAAGAATTTCATAGATTTCAATATATTTCTGTGATTAAAAATTTTTCTCTTGGAAGAGTATAGTACATGTATGTCTTAAAAAACATCAAAAACTTTTTCAATTTCTAAATCATTAGACTTTAACAAAGAATGCCATGACAAATTCATTAAAACTGAATCATTTTCTTATTAGAAATTTGAACAAATTCTTTTTCAGTGCCAGGATGTGGTGGAATTCTCAATGTGACCGATTCTTTACAAACAGTTATCTCCCCTGGTTACCCAGATGGGTACCGGGACAATCTAGACTGTACCTGGGTGTTAAATTCACAGGTTGGTTCCCGGATCTGGTTGAACATCTCAGATATTGATATAGAGTCACATTCTTCATGCAACTATGATGTTCTTAGAATTTACAATTGTGAGTACATGCATTACAATTATACAGTATTGCTGTTTTCCTGTAACAATGTTACAATTGAAATATTGTTTTTTTATTTGACAACGTTTTTATTTCCGCATTACCGTCCTATTTTATTAGTGTATAGTTAAACAGACGTTACATCACTTGTTATTTTATAAACAGCAATTTTTTCTGAAGAGAAAACATTGAAAGCTAAAGAAAAGTGTTTGTTTTTATTGAGCTGATTATGTTAATTTTGCAGTTTCCAGTCACTGATCCTCTCTACAAATCTTTGTTTTATTCTATTGTTTTTTTGTTAACGATACATGCATTATTTCACTTATTGACTGTGTATAACATTTCCTTGAATGACACTTTATAAAGTTTATTCTACTGTTAACTTTTATATGTTCCAATGTCATAGCTTTTAATATCATTGAATTACACAGTGAGCTTCAAGATGTTCTAATGCCATAGTTTGTAATATCAAAAAATTATACTGTAAAATTCAAGGTTCTCTAATGTAATAGCTTGTAATTTCATTAAATTATACAGTGAGCTTCAAAATGCTCAAATGTCAAAGCTTATAATTTCATTAAATTACACCGTGAGCTTCAAGGTGAAATAATGCAATAGCTAATAATATCTTTAAATTACACAGTGAGCTTCAAGATGTTATAATAGCACAACTTGTTACATAATAAATTACACAGTGAGCTTCAAGCTAATGTCATAGCTTGTAATATCATCAAATCACACAGTGAGCTTCAAGATTCTCCAATTTCATAGCCTGTTATATTATTAAATTATATAAGTAAGCTTAAAGATGTTCTTATGTCATAGTTTGTAATATCATTAAAATACACTGTGGGTTTCAAAGTGTTCTAATGTCAGAACTTGTAATATCATCAAATCATACAGTGACCTCAAGGTGATCCAATGTCAAAGCTTATTACATCATTAGATTATACAGTGAGCTTTAAGATGTTATAATGCCATGCTTTTTATCATGTGTTCTATGAGCTTTAAGATGTTCTATTGTTATGGCTGTTAATAAACTCAATTGTAAAATATTCTAATGTAAATTACTTTTTTAAGTAATATGTTCTAATGTCAGTATTTATTATTCTATAGCTGGATATACAAGTGGGCCAATGCTGGGAACCTTCTGTGGTCGCACAGGGAACCAAGTGCCTTTAATATCAAATCAAAACAGTGTTGCAATGAGATTTACAACAGACTCATCTGTTAACAGGACAGGATTTAGTCTGCAGTATAAGAGAGGTCAGTAATAAGAGTAATTCTTTACCCCTTTACTTTAATAATTTAATGTGTTTTCCCAATTAAGCTATATTGCAGGGTGAGATATGTGCAGCTTGACCGGGATTCAAATGCGAGACCCTTGGAATACTGATCGGCAGCTGAACTGACTTAGTTATCTACAGGCTAGCTTACACATCTTCTCCCTTAGACAGTGAACAGTTCTAAATAGGAACAACTGTATGTTTCGAAGTAAAAGCAGATTTATTGTCATGACCACTAGTTAGCGTCTGCATTTGTGAAACTGTTTGGCCCAACCAAAATTTCAGGTCAAAGATCAGCATGATTGAACCTGTAATAACAACACACAAAACTAAAAAATAAATTTAATATAATTACCTAGAATTTGTTCTTTTAAAGTTTCACTAAATGGGTTTTCAAAATCAATATTTTAACACGATGCAGACTGCATAGACATTCAGGTTTCACCCTACATGGAGAAATTGGTACATAATAACAGCCATTCATAATGAGCACTAATTTTAAAATTCATCCAGGTTTTTAACCATTATTCATTGTATTTCAAAAAATAATTCTATGCCAAAAATAAGAGAATGCAGTTGTGCTTAAGTATGATTTGGCAAGTAATCCATAAAGAATAAGAGTTTAATAATGATAAAGTCTTTATTTAAAGAGGCTACTCAGTTGCAATAAAGACAAACTTCCATATGGGCCTTTAAATCACAGATTGGCATAAATATCATGCACAATAAATAACCTTCTCAAATGCTTCGTCATCAATTGCTCATCTGGAGTTTGTTGACTTGCAGACATGTGTTGAAAGCAACAATATTCTTCAAAAATAGAACTAACATGTAAGATAATAAAGATTCTGGGGATATTTTGTTTGTTTATTTCAAATGTTTGTTGATTTTTCTCAGAGGAGAGTTGAGTTTTCTCAATATTTAATTAAACTATTTACAAAATATGTCTTTAAAGTGAGCCAGAACTATAGAGGAGAAAAATATTTTGAAGTAAACAACACTAATGTTTGTTTTTAGTTCACCTTAGCACACAAACAACTCTGAGGTGAGCTTTGGTGATGACATCATTTTCATCCGTCTTATGTCCTGGAATGGTTCCAAAATTTTTCTATAAACAACATCATTTCCCTGTCCATATTCTGTTTGTTAAAACTTTGACCAATCTTCACAAGATGATACTTAAGTAAACAAAAAAATATGTAAATTTATAGTGTTCGGTTCACAAGTTGGCCAAAGGAGCTAAAATTGGCCTTTAAGAATGAAATCTTTGATAAGTAGATCTACTATCCTCAGAAGTTACATGTACAATATATTTGCTTGTAGCATCACCTTGTGGCCTTTTACAGTCTTTATAAATCATGCCCTTGGGGTTACTTTATTCAGCTCTTAAATTGGGGTCACTTTACCTGGCCCTTGGGATCACTTAACTCAGCCTTTGGGATCACTTTACCAAACCCTCCAGATCACTTAATTAACAAAGTTTTGTACAGGAAACACAATTCATCACTTTAGTGCAATAACTGGTTAACTCCTATTGAATTAAGAAGGACTTAAACTGTTACTGCACTTAGAGGTGATGACATGTAAGTCCTCCTCTTTGAATTATATCCATTTGGAACATAATCAGATTTAAAACCAAGTCTGATAAGGTTAGCTTGTCCTTACCAAGGACTTCATATACCTCCGAAATCAATTTGCAATTCCATGATTGGTTGGAAATTATGGAATGGTGTGATAGGGTGTAATAAATCTTAATATATTCAGTTGTTTTTATTGATATGTTAAACATAGCCGGAGTTAACGGACTTCCATACTTTGTTCTCGATACTGTTAATATATAATCTACCTCCGGACTAATCTTTGATCTGTTTACAGTCACAATTGATACTTCTCAACCAGTCATAATCCACTTTTAAGTCAACATTTTTCAAACATATGCTTTTTATAATGCAACATAAAAATCCAAATATCTCTGGATATATTTTATTTTGAAGGTATTTTAAAGGGACTCAATTGAGGTTCAAAAGCCTAAAAACATAACATTTGAATTTCTTACATAAATGAGCTGGGCACTTTAAATAGAAATATATATGCAAAGAAACTTAAGAAATATACTATGAAATAAATTGAAAATTGTACATGTATTTTTATGCTTTTCTAAGCCCTATTTGAGTAAAAAGCGTTTAAACACTTTTCATTTTGGGTAATTTTTTTCAAATTTGAATAATTATTCTGAAAAAAAATCTGAAATTTTGCACAAAGATTAGTGGTTTAAACATACATCAAATGGTCATTTATCAGAAAAAAATATTTTCAGTCCCATCATGTCAAAAAACCTCAGTGGAGTCCCTTTAAAGTTGGAAATGTAAATGTTGCATCTCTTAATAAGTCTTTACTACTAAAATTGTGTAAATCATGCCCCAAAAGTCAAAAAGGCCCGGACTTGTGTCACATTTGTGACATCAAATTTAACAAAAAATTTAAAAAGCTTCTCAGAAACTTAGAGCAACAGTTATAATAATTCAACATTAATATTTGTGTTTAGAGAACTTTTGTAAACTAAGAATATTATTTTCATCATCGACCATTATAATTGTATAATATTTTATTACCTAATGCTTTGCAATCAAACTGTAATATATATTGCACCAACCTACTTATAACATTTTTGACAACTGTTTTAATTATAAACAGTCTTCAGACGTTTGATTTTCTAAACCCAAAACTGTACATTGATTGCCGTAAAGTGGCCTATGGCGTAAACAGAAATACCTAATGACAGGGGTGAAACAGTTGAAGATCTTAACCAGTCAACAGTTCATTTCATTACTGCGCATGCACATGATTTCATCGGTTCAATTAAACAGTTATAAATAAGGAATTTTCAATTATAGAAAGCTTTAGGTAATAATTTAAATTATTTTTTTGAAATTGTACAGTTTAAGCCATTTTGTTGGTATGAGTTAAAATGATATTAATTTCAGTTTGTGGAGGAAGACTACAGACAAACAGCGGAGTTATACAGTCAGATAGATATCCCAACAGTTACCCGACAAATTCCAACTGTACGTGGACAGTGCGAGTGACCCCTGGCCGCACAATACGTGTACAGTTCAATAGTAACTTCAATACACAGGGCACACAGGGCTCTTGTTCTGGAGACTATGTCCAGGTTAGTTTGTTATTATAAAAAATGATATCATAGTTTTGGCATGTTGTCTGATTAAAGAATCCTACCAATTTTAATTTCCATTTTCTTCCTTACAAAAATGTTGGTTTTATATTTTTTTATACACACAAAACCCCCCAAAAAGACCAGCATCCGTATGCTTTAGAAAATTCCTGTAATTTGTTGAAATATCCAAGGTAAATAAATTGAGTAATTAAATGTAATTATGATATTAAAATTCTGGCAGCAAATAAAATTTAAGAAGAAAATATCCTTACATTGCTCAGTTAAGCTGAGTTAAAAAGCTGTTGTTTTCTTTTTTTTCAGTTGTTAAATGGTATATATTCAACATCACCACCTCTTGGTAATGCGAATGGTCGTTACTGTGGCAACACAGCACCTGCCACCATGGAAACTGGAAGCAACCTGTTAAATGTCCAGTTTGTGTCAGATGGCTCGGGAAGTGGACCTGGCTTTTCATTGACCTTTAATGAAGTTCATGTTACATGCGGAGGTCAGCTGAGCCTGGACGCAGCAACAACAAGTGGATTCTTTACGTCACCAAACTACCCGGGAAATTACCCGCATAATGTAGATTGTGTTTGGGTGATAACTGCTCCGGCACATGAAAGAATACAGATAGACTTTGTTGAAGACTTTGGAATAGAACGACATACACAGTTGGTTTTAATTTTTTAGCTCGACTATTCGATAAGAATAAGTAGAGCTATTGCAGTCACCCGAGCGTCGGCGTCGGCGTTGGCGTAACCACTTATGTTAAAGTTTTTGTAATAGTTCAAATATTTTCAAAGTCCATAGACATATGCCTTTGAAACTTTGCACACTTGTTCACCATCATGACCCCAACCTGTAGACAGGAGGAGGTAACTCTATCAAGCATTTTGACAGAATTATGCCCCTTTTTCGACTTAGAATTTACGTTAAAGTTTTTGTAATAGTTCAAATATTTTCAAAGTCCATTGACATATGGCTTTGAAACTTTGCACACTTGTTCACCATCATGACCCCAACCTGTAGACAAGAGGAGTAAACTCTATCAAGCATTTTGACAGAATTATGCCCCTTTTTTGACTTAGAATTTATGTTAAAGTTTTTGTAATAGTTCAAATATTTTCAAAGTCCATTGACATATGGCTTTGAAACTTTGCACACTTGTTCAACATCATGACCCCAACCTGTAAACAGGAGGAGGTAACTCTATCAAGCATTTTGACAGAATTATGCCCCTTTTTCGACTTAGAATTTACGTTAAAGTTTTTGTAATAGTTTAAATATTTTCAAAGTCCATTGACATATGGCTTTGAAACTTTGCACACTTGGTTACCATCATGACCCCAACCTGTAGACAAGAGGAGGAAACTCTATCAAGCATTTTGACAGAATTATGCCCCTTTTTCGACTTAGAATTTACATTAAAGTTTTTGTAATAGTTCAAATATTTTCAAAGTCCATTGACATATGCCTTTGAAACTTTGCACACTTGTTCAACATCATGACCCAAACCTGTAAACAGGAGGAGGTAACTCTATCAAGCATTTTGACAGAATTATGCCCCTTTTTCGACTTAGAATTTACGTTAAAGTTTTTGTAATAGTTCAAATATTTTCAAAGTCCATTGACATATGCCTTTGAAACTTTGCACACTTGTTCAACATCATGACCCCAACCTGTAAACAGGAGGAGGTAACTCTATCAAGCATTTTGACAGAATTATGCCCCTTTTTCGACTTAGAATTTACGTTAAAGTTTTTGTAATAGTTCAAATATTTTCAAAGTCCATTGACATATGCCTTTGAAACTTTGCACACTTGTTCAACATCATAACCCAAACCTGTAAACAGGAGGAGGTAACTCTATCAAGCATTTTGACAGAATTATGCCCCTTTTTCGACTTAGAATTTACGTTAAAGTTTTTGTAATAGTTCAAATATTTTCAAAGTCCATTGACATATGCCTTTGAAACTTTGCACACTTGTTCACCATCATGACCCCAACCTGTAAACAGGAGGAGGTAACTCTATCAAGCATTTTGACAGAATTATGCCCCTTTTTCGACTTAGAATTTACGTTAAGGTTTTTATAATAGTTCAAAATTTTCAAAGTCCATTGACATATGCCTTTGAAACTTTGCACACTTGTTCACCATCATGACCCCAACCTGTAAACAGGAGGAGTAACTCTATCAAGCATTTTGACAGAATTATGCCCCTTTTTCGACTTAGAATTTACGTTAAAGTTTTTGTAATAGTTCAAATATTTTCAAAGTCCATTGACATATGCCTTTGAAACTTTGCACACTTGTTCAACATCATAACCAAACTGTAAACAGGAGGAGGTAACTCTATCAAGCATTTTGACAGAATTATGCCCCTTTTTCGACTTAGAATTTACGTTAAAGTTTTTTGTAATAGTTCAAATATTTTCAAAGTCCATTGACATATGCCTTTGAAACTTTGCACACTTGTTCACCATCATGACCCCAACCTGTAAACAGGAGGAGGTAACTCTATCAAAGCATTTTGACAGAATTATGCCCTTTTTCGACTTAGAATTTACGTTAAGGTTTTTATAATAGTTCAAATATTTTCAAAGTCCATTGACATATGCCTTTGAAACTTTGCACACTTGTTCACCATCATGACCCCAACCTGTAAACAGGAGGAGGTAACTCTATCAAGCATTTTGACAGAATTATGCCCCTTTTTCGACTTAGAATTTACGTTAAAGTTTTTGTAATAGTTCAAATATTTTCAAAGTCCATTGACATATGGCTTTGAAACTTTGCACACTTGTTCACCATCATGACCCCAACCTGTAAACAGGAGGAGGTAACTGTATCAAGCATTTTTTTTACTATCAAGCACTAAGAATAGTCGAGCGTTGCTGTCCTACCGACAGCTCTTGTTATCTTTAATAGCATTTCACATTCTGATTTCGCTTTTAATGGCCTGCTTCATTGCTGAAAAAACCTTGACTGATTTTTTTTTTGATGAGTCATAAATCAAGATATTTATATAAGAATATAAGGAGATTCACCCAATTCTTTGCAAGCTTTTTTTTCTTCTTATTAACGTTTACAGGTTATATATCATAATAAATTAATATGTTAAAGTTAGTAGATTTATTTTTGACAAAAATGTTTTATGATATTTTGGAATTGATTGACTCCTCTGTATAAACATTATAAGAAATTACTTATAATTGCACAAATTTAATCAACCTTTGATATTATTCTTTCTCAATGACCTTGCTATTTATTGTATAAATCACATATTAAACCAGTTCTATTTACTTAACACTTTGTCAATTCACTAACCTAAGAGTATGTGATTCATACAATAAACAACAAGCTCCTTAATAAAGAGACATTTACCTAAAGAATCATCGGAGATTAATACACACTCAGGGATTAGTCTCATGTCCGGCCCACAAATTTTCATCTCGGGGTGGAAAACTCGTAGAAGCGCTCCAATGGAAAATGGAAATGGTGCATAGAAATATCAAATGATACCTTTAAATGGAAAAAATGTAGTTAATAAATGAACGCTGTTTACTAGCTACTGTTTACCCTTTATTGTCAAATTAATATTTATCAGATTTTCCCGATCATAGGCTTTGCCTACTTTCATATTGAATTTTGTACAAAAGATAGTTATTAATTAATTGTTTCTACACTGGGTTATACCTAAAGAGAGAGGTTTTATTCAAACATTATTTAATTATTGCAGATGTAACTATGATTTTATCGAAATCTGTGATGGTGGCACTGTCAACTCTGCATCTCTCGGCAAATTTTGTGGTTATGCGAAACCAAACACAGTAGTTTCTACAGGGAATGTGATGTATGCAAGGTTTCGTACAGATAACAGTGTCCCAAGGATTGGCTTCAAAGCTCAATACAAGATTGGTAAGAATTGTTTTGTCTTTAAAGGGACTCCACTGAGGATGTAATGGCGGGGCAATATAGTGTTACCCGTTCCGTATTCTGAAATTCGTCATCAATCAGTTTCCGTTCATTATCTTAAGAACGGTTGCACACATTCAACTCAAATTTGACATATGGATATGTCATGAGAAAATACAGGTAAAGTTCGAATTTGGTCATGGTTCGATGATTTTTTGGCAGAGTTATGCCCTTTTACTTTGAAAATAATATGAAATTTTCAGTTTCCCGTTCATTATCTCCCCAACGGTACAACACATTCAACTCAAACTTGACATATGGATATGTCATGAGAAAATACAGGTCAAGTTCGAATTTGGTCATGGTTCGATGATTTTTGGCAGAGTTATGCCCCTTTTACTTACTTTGAAAATAATATGAAATTTTCAGTTTCCGTTCATTATCTCCCCAACAGTACAATACATTCAACTCAAACTTGACATATGGATATGTTATATGAAAATACAGGTCAATGACAAATTTGGTCATGGTTTGATGATTTTTGGCAGAGTTATGCCCCTTTTACTTTGAAAATAATATGACATTTTCAGTTTCAGTTCATAATCTCCCCAACGGTACAACACATTCAACTCAAACTTGACATATGGATATGTCATGAGAAAATACAGGTCAAGTTCGAATTTGGTCATGGTTCGATGATTTTCGGCAGAGTTATGCCCCTTTTACTTTGATAATAATATGAAATTTTCAGTTACCGTTCATTATCTCCCCAAAGGTACAACACATTCAACTCAAACTTGACATATGTATGGGTCAAAGGAATGCGCTGGTCAAGTTCAAATTTGGTCATGGTTTAATGATTTTTGGCAGAGTTATGCCCCTTTCACTTTGAAAGTAATATGAAATTTTCAGTTTCCATTTATTATCTCCCCAAAAGTACAAAACATTTAGCTCAAATTTTACATATGGGTATGTTTTTGGAATGACCAGGCCAAGTTCGAATTTGGTCATGGTTCAATGATTTTTGGCAGAGTAATGCCCCTTTCACTTTGAAAATAATATGAAATTTACAGTGTCTGTTCATTATCTACCCAACAGTGTTACATATTCAACTTAAATTTGACATATGGATATGTCAAAGGAATGGGCAAGTCAAAGTTGGAATTTGGTCATGGGTTGATGATTTTTTGGCAGAGTTATGTCCCTTTCACTTTGAAAATAATATAGATACATCTTAGGATAAGCAGTTTAGGTTTGAATTTGGTCGTGGTTCAATGATTTTAGACAAACTTATCTTTCCTGAATGTTGGAAAAAATTTGAACTTTCAGTTTCAGCACTCATACTTTTAGCATAATTTTGGCTACAAATATGCAATATGCTATTTTTAAAAGGTTAAGACTGAATAATTTCAGTGCCTTGAACATTGTATGAAAATGGTTTGTGTTAACATTGAAAAGTTTTAAGGGCTTTGAACTTAAAATGAAAAAAATTATTAATGCACCATCTGAAATTTTGGCTGCATGCGGGGACATCCGTGGCATGATGACACATTTCTAGTTGTTTTGGAACATGATGAGACTTTCTTTGAGTTCTTCACCAGTAACTTGTGTGCAAAATTTCAGTTTATTTAGCCACTCTGCTTTTTCCAGAATAATTATTCTAATTTTGGAAAAATTATTCCAAATTGAAATTTGTTAATGCCATTAGCTTAAATCAACTGTTAAGAATAGCACAAAAATGAGATTTTCATATTCGTTTCTGTGTGTATTTATTGACTATCTTTTACATATCTTTCTGTTTTTAGTTGCCCAGTTGATCTATGTAAGAAATTTAAGGTATTTGGACCTCATGCAGCTGAGTTTCTTTAAGTTCATATATTGAAATGTGAGACGCACAATGCAGTTGAAGAAAATAATGAAAAAAAAGGATAATATAGTGATTGTGGTGCTAATTTATAGTGACGTGAATTAAAAAGGATAGGAGCCTAGGAGGCAATATATTTATTAAAAGACCACTGCTTTGAATGTTTATTAATAAATATTTACATGTTAATTGAACATTTGTTCAGTTTGTCACGTTTTATGACATGGACTAATGTATTAACATTTTCAGTTTGGTCATTTCAATTAGAAATGATTGCTCATTGACGTATATAAAAATGTATCTTAAGGAGTGTTTTTATGTAATACAATCATGTACTTTTAAAGTGAAAGCATGCTCAGCGATCAGATGATTTATTATTCAACACCAAAATTATAATGTTTATTTAGTGGCATATTTTTGGTATCTTTGATGCACCTCAGACCAAACCAGAAGTGGTGTCATAATTGCATCTAGAAATATGGTTTATGACTTGGTTAGTGATCAAAATAAAGATCTGATAGTTTAGAGGCAAAAACGTTTACCATTGTGAGCTTGAAAAAAAAGATAAAATGTATTATATTTTTGTGGCTTTCAATTTTTATCCCCCTCATTAAAAAAATAGGTATATTGCTTTGTGTTAGTCCTAACAAATATAAAGATACATGTACTAAGTGGCTATGGGAATAGTAAGTTACGGTAAATTTCCTTTGATGCTATTCAGTCAGAAAGCTCATATTTTGCTACTTTTTCTCTTACGTGGCTAGACAATAGGCTGTAGGGGACAAAAGAGTAACCACTCAAAGACATCCATTTGACCATCTGTAGACCACACCTTGTCCAACCGATAACTAGAGAATGCTTTGACCTATTGTAATCAGATTTGATGTAGAGGTTTGACATTAATAGTAATGACACATTTGGATTTTGGGGTCAGTTGGTCAAAGGTCAAGGTCTGAATGGTTTCGATTTCCTGGAGACTATGCATTTCTTAGCTCAAGAAGGTGAGGTGCTGTTGCCGTCTGGTGTTGTTTGTTGTAACACACAAGGTTAAACACAATCATCTTTCCTGTTATTGTGCCATATCACCTAAACTGTGTTGGTGCAGGGTAAAACAAAACAAAAAAGGCCATCTTATTAACTAATATATTGCCGTCTTGACAAAGTGCTAAGCCTTAGCTACCAGTATAAAGCCAGGCCACCCTTTACTTCTGTGCAGACTGACCAGGCTCTTTATACTGTTGGTAGATCAATTTTTGTATTTTGATATTACATGTAAAAACCTTTGAACTTTGATGGACTGTTCCAAATTAATAGGTTGGCAAATGCATTTCATAAATTCAGCATGTTAAGGGTAAATTAGTGAGTGGAAAGTACTGCAAACAATTTAATTATGATCATATTAATTTTGTACACATTTTCCTTCTATTTCAGCAACATGCGGAGGTACTTACTTCGGGAATAGGGGTTCAATTACAAGTCCCAACTACCCAAGTAACTATGACAACAACGCTGAATGTATCTGGGTCATTCGAGGGCCAGTAGGCCACTATCTGACCTTCACCTTCACAGCACATGACCTTCAATCCAGTTCAAACTGTTCTTTGGCAGATTTTGTTGAAATTCGAGAAATAAATTCTACAGGTACATTTTCAAAATGTGTCATTGAAAGAAATTCAAACAGATGTTTTATTCATATGTTCATCTTATTACAATGTATAAGAATGGATCACTTTTTTTATTAAAATTAAGTTTAACATACATTTAATTTAGAAATTATAAATAAATGTAAAATTATGTAATATGGAATTGATTTAAAAAATTTTGAAAATTTAAAGTCATTAAAGGCAAAGTTAAATTGCTTTGAATTGATTTTTTTGTGTATACCGGTAATTAATAATTAAGATAAGCACTTTATTAGCCATTTAATCTGAAATTTTAGAATTAACAGTAACAAAGTGTACAAAATCCTCTCTTCCATCAATGTCGAATGATCCCCTTTTTGTTTCCTATTTCTAAAAGTCTGAACATATATATTTTTCTCGATCAAAAGGACCTGTGCTGCTTCAGTCATGCGGTTCAAGTTTGCCTAGCCCAGTTATGACGTCAGATAGGTATGGCTATGTCCGGTTTGTTTCTAATGAGGCTTATCAACGACCAGGATTTCGTCTGAATTTTGAGGCCAGTGTTGAAGGTATGTTATATAATTTGCACTTTTTAAAAGTTTAGTTGATATTGGCTTAGTCCCTAGTGGTGTATAACCATGGTTTCTAAATGACAAGCCACCCCACAAAGCACATTTGGTTAAAGCATTAGTTGTAATCTCAACATTGTTGATTCGATTCCAGGGCTGGCCAACTAAAATTACTAATCAGTCTTTCGGATGAGATTTTAAATTGAGTCAAGTCTCTTTTAAGATACATTATTATGTCCCTTTCAAGCATCATTAAGGACATAAGTGTCATATTTGCCATTTAAGCTCAAATGTTAAAGCTACCTTGATGTTTGGTAATATGTGACAATAGTGTCATAGTTATGAATTTAATTTTGGAAATTAAAGTGTTTTGGTAAGATTTATATTAAATAAATGTTATTCAAAACTCAGCAAATGTGGGTTTTTCCTAGCTAATCACCTGGTACAAACCTGTTCTGTTATAGCTTCACAGAGCACTGCCAGTCACAATAGATTAGTCAGCCTGTTAAGCTTAATTTCAAAGCTGTTAAAGTTTGTTTGTATTCTCTAGATTAGCTGGGAAAAACCCAAAATATTCTTAATTCTGGAGTTAGTCTATTCTAGAGTAAGTCTATTCTAAATACATGTATGTCCGAAGTTATTGTTGCTGTTACATGCACATGTATATACACAGCCTTCATAGCCCATCTTCCTTTATTCCTATATGCTGATCACTGATAAATATTTATTAAGAAGGTAAACTGATAAATATTTATTAAGAAGGTAAACTTTTGTAATGTTTTTGTATGTATGTCCAGAATATAGTACAGTTTATGAATATAAAGTTTTAAATGCCTTTTGGAATAGTGCTCATGCCTTAATTTACAGCTCTCTTACGTCAGTAATAAAAGTTTAAACACACTTTCCGATTTTTTTTATTTTATGTAAGATGATGCCGGGCTTTATGTTAGATAGACAGTAATAAAAGTGCAATACACTTTCAGATTTTTTCTTTGCTTTATGTAAAATATGTGAATATGATAGACCAAAGTGGTGTTTCAATGTCAAATGGCAACAAATAGACTTCGAATATGGCAATTATAACAATATTTGTGATAACATCAAAAAATACTGAAAATATTTTTTTTAAACTTGAAATATGGATAGATGGCAGTATGAAGATGATGCACATCATTTTAAGCTTGTCTTTAGGAAGTATATAAAGAGGTTTGTCCTACTCGCCCAGCGTCAGCGATCACATGCAGAATTCAAATCAAAGTTTTAACACAGTAAAATCTTTTTAACTATAACTACTTTATTTCTTAAGGTATTTACTTCAAATAACTTTTAATAACTTTTATATTTCTTAATTTATCTATTTTAAACTTCAAATATATGCTTCTCATGAATGGTCATGACCCTTCAGAATGTTGCTGAGGTTGTATCCGCTTGCAATACGTTGATTATTGCTTTTTATTTTATAAATTAAGTTTTCTCTATGGTCTTCAATACTGAAAAAGCTGTCACAATTTTTGTTTTATGGTCAATGAATACAATTATGAATTTGAAATTTGTTATCGGTCAAGCCCATTTTTTGGGCCAAAAGGCATGACATTTAATTGAAATTATCTCTTTACTTATAAAATGTCAAGTGAACTTTCATGCACTTAGATAAAAATGGAGCACATCCCTTTCCAAAGTGTTGTCAAAATATGCCCTGGTTTATATATTAAGTGTTATGTAATGTTGAGTTTAGGCAAAATTATAGCCCTCTTATTTGTTATTCTTTTATATGATATAATGGCTGAAAAACTTGGTTTTGTCAGACATTGTCCTGTCAGGTGTACCATGTGGGGTGTCAGTGGTCAAGTGCTTCTGCCTGGATGCATTAAAGAAAGACTATGCTTATCCTTGAATAAAATATTTTAAAGGGAGACACAGGCAAACTTTTCATTTCTTCGTTTTGAATTTTTCATTCATTATTGTGTATGTTTCCTAAAAATTAATACACGAGACAGTCACAGGAACAAAAATGTTCTCCTCATAAAGAATAAAATTGTTGTTTTCTGACTTGACCCAAGTGTGTCAGGTTAGAGCATTACGATTTCACAAAAGTTGTCACAGTGAACTCTGGAAACATTAAAGACTATATCAATTGAATGCCTTAGACTTGTTTCATTCATACAATATCCACAATATCTGTTACTTCAAGGGTTTGTTCAAGTCGTATGACTTGTTTTAAAACTACTCGGTGATTCTGTTTGTGTCTAAATGTGTCAACATACATAGATATATTTATGCTTCTAACCCAAAATATATAGAATTCATACAGAAATTCATGCTGGGACTTAAAAAAATGTCATTAAGCGTGATTTGAGTACATTAGATCTTTTTGATATTATTGTCATTAATTTGCCTGAGTATTCCTTTAACTATGACTCTGTATGGGAATTAAGCTACATTTCCTATTACAGGAAATTAAAGTAAAGTTGATCCTATATATTCATAGTAACATAAATATATATATGACAAATTAACTTTATTTTGATCCTTTGCTCATATGAAATTTTGTACATAATTTTAACCCATTGATAAAACACGCACCCGTGCTCAATATATTAAAAGTGTCTTAAAGGAGAGATTTACATTTCTTCAGAGTACAGCAAAATTGAACTCGTCTTTTTAACTTTTTCTCTTACTTGATATATCACTTCAGAATGTGGTGGAGACCTGACAACGCCAACAGGGACATTTCAGTCACCAAACTTCCCCGGGAATTACCCACACTCTCGTTATTGTCAGTGGAGAATTACAGTACCACAGGGAAGAAGGATCACGTTGACGTTCGACCCGTTCAGTATAGAAGATCACTCGTACTGTCGATACGATTTTGTCACGGTAATGTTATGAAGTTTTTATTTATCCTTTTTGATCATATAATCCTTTTATGATCATAATCACATTCCAATACTTTCAGTGCCTTTTGGATCATTGATTTGAATACTTTCAATGCCTTTTGGATCATTGATTCCATTACTTTCAATGCCTTTTGGATCATTGATTTGAATACTTTCAATGCCTTTTGGATCATTGATTCAAATACTTTCAATGCCTTTTGGATCATTGATTTGAATACTTTCAATGCCTTTTGGATCATTGATTCCATTACTTTCAATGCCTTTTGGATCATTGATTTGAATACTTTCAATGCCTTTTGGATCATTGGTTTGAATACTTTCAATGCCTTTTGGATCATTGATTTGAATACTTTCAATGCCTTTTGGATCATTGATTTGAATACTTTCAATGCCTTTTGGATCATTGATTTGAATACTTTCAATGCCTTTTGGATCATTGATTTAAATACTTTCAATGCCTTTTGGATCATTGATTCCAAAACTTCCAATGACTTTTGGATCATTGATTCAAATACTTTCAATGCCTTTTGGATCATTGATTCAAATACTTTCAATGCCTTTTGGATCATTGATCCAAATACTTTCAATGCCTTTTGGATCATTGATTCAAATACTTTCAATGCCTTTTGGATCATTGATTCGAATACTTTCAATGACTTTTGGATCATTGATTTGAATACTTTCAATGCCTTTTGGATTATTGATTTGAATACTTTCAATGCCTTTTGGATCATTGATTTGAATACTTTCAATGCCTTTTGGATCATTGATTTGAATACTTTCAATGCTTTTGGATTATTGATTTGAATACTTTCAATGCCTTTTGGATCATTGATTTGAATACTTTCAATGCTTTTGGATCATTGATTTAAATACTTTCAATGCCTTTTGGATCATTGATTCCCAAAACTCCAATGCCTTTTGGATCATTGATTTGAATACTTTCAATGCCTTTTGGATCATTGATTCCAAAACTTTCAATGACTTTTGAATTATTGATTTGAATACTTTCAATGCCTTTTGGATCATTGATTTGAATACTTTCAATGACTTTTGGATCATTGATTCAAATACTTTCAATGACTTTTGGATCATTGATTTGAATACTTTCAATGACTTTTGGATTATTGATTTGAATACTTTCAATGCCTTTTGGATCATTGATTTGAATACTTTCAATGCCTTTTGGATCATTGATTCCAAAACTTCCAATGACTTTTGGATCATTGATTTGAATACTTTCAATGACTTTTGGATTATTTATTTGAATACTTTCAATGACTTTTGAATTATTGATTTGAATACTTTCAATGCCTTTTGGATCATTGATTTGAATACTTTCAATGCCTTTTGGATCATTGATTTGAATACTTTCAATGCCTTTTGGATCATTGATTTGAATACTTTCAATGCCTTTTGGATTATTGATTTGAATACTTTCAATGCCTTTTGGATCATTGATTTGGATACTTTCAGTGCCTTTGCGATCATTTATTCCAATACTTTAAGTGCCTTTGGGATCATTGAAGGAACTCCAGACTATGTATAGTCTATTTGAAATTTAAATGGTCTGGTCAGTCATAGCCCATTTAAATAAAACAATGCTGTTGTTTGTCAATTTAATGAACAAAGAAAGCAAGTGTTGTGAGTGTGTGTTCGACCATGGGTTTCCATTGTTTTATAGTTTTGATTACAGTATTACATTGAGGGATAACTGTATTGAATGTTTTAATTACAGGTTTATAATGGAGGCGAGGTCAAAGCTCCGTTTATTGGTAGATATTGTGGAGACAATCCACCGGGTGTTGTGGAGACATCAGGAAACACAGCACGAGTCGTTTTCCGCACAGATGGATCTGTCACAAATGGTGGCTTTAGAGCATCCTACACATCACAAAATGAAGCTGGTATATAATATTTAATTATTAAATAGGGATATTGAATGAGTGTAAGTTCAATACTGAATTTATTGCACAAGTTGAATAAAATTATATTATGCGAGCCTCTGGCGAGCATAATATTTTATTCAACGAGTGCAATAAATTCAGTAATGAATTTACATGAATTTAATTTTTTATTTATCACACACCCAAAATAAAGACCTTTTAAAGTGAAATAAGAGTCATTTGTATAACGCTAACATTTAGCGCGTCTTTACACAAGCATCTTTACGCTAATGACGACACGTCAAAATATATGCACAGCCGGGCAATACCATATTTACAGAGTCGCAAAATTGGCACGGGTGTGTGATAAATATTATTAATGTTTATGGATAAAAAAAAACACCTATTCATTTTCCTTAAGGCTGAAAAACATAGTTATATCTGGGTCAATTTCACAAACTTTAAATATTGATGATTTTGTTTATTAGTAACATCATAATGGATAAAGTATCAAAAAGAAAATTACATGAATATACTATTTTGATGCATTGTTTTTTTGTTTGTTTGTTTTTTTGTTTTTTCTCTTGTAAACTATGTTGATATTGTATAAAAATGGTATGCTATATTTATATTTAATATTATGATATTATGTAAAATGCTGAGAATAAGCAAGAAGTAACTTTTCCATTATTTCAAAAGTACTGGTTTCAAGTGGTTGACTACTTTTCTTGATAGACTGGTCATTTTAATGATTTACCATGACATCTGTAAAATAAGATTTTATTTTTGCATTTTAAACACAAAACATGTTAACACCTTTAAAGATTAAAATGTACTGACATTTAGCCTTCATATAAAAATTGCAATATTAATATAAAAGCGTTAAACGGAGTTGAACAATTATAATTTTTCAGTCTGTGGCGGCCTTATAACATCAAGTCCAGGTAATATTACCTCCCCTGGCTTTGCAACCGGGAATTACACAAACAACATCCAGTGCATATGGACCATACGTAATCAGGCGTATGTGAACACATCTATCGTTATACGATTTAATACTCTGAAACTGGAACCAGCCCACAGCTGCAGATATGATTGGCTTGAAGCTAGAGAAGGTCTGTATTATATGAGCCGCGTCACGACAAAACCAACATAGTGCGTTTGCGACCAGCATGGATCCATACCAGTCTGCGCAGTCTGATCAGGATCCATGCTGTTCGCTTACAAACCCTATAACAAGTAGAGAAACTAATAGCAAACAGCATGTATCCTGATCAGACTGCATGGATGCACAGGCTTGTCTAGATCCATGCTGGTTGCAAACCCATTATGTTGGTTTTGTCATGGCACGGCTCATATTTTTAACTTTTCTTACATGGGGTTATCATATTAGTTAGGTCAAGGTCACTTAAAAGGTTGAATAGGCCATGTTTTAAGTTTTCAACCATCAACAATAATTTTGTTTGTTCAGTAGTTATGACCCTTGTATAGTTTAATGATAACAATAGTTATGACCCTTGTATAGTTTAATGATAACAATAGTTATGACCCTTGTATAGTATAACAGTAGTTAATTAAACATAAGACCCTTTTATACATGTAGTTTAATAATAACTGGAGTTATGGCCCTTGTGTAAGTTTGTAAATTTTCTTGTTGCACTTTAAAACCAAACAAAACAAACAAACAAATCATAATTTATAACTAAAATGTCAAGAAAAATTTTGCGATCATTATAATTATATAATACAAGTCTGCTTGAAGGGCAGTCTGTATTTTCTATTGTATAAGGAGATAAATCATTTTCAAATTTGTTTCTAGACATACTTAGTACTATCACTGTTGCTATATATAGAAACACTTCCATTGGTTTATACAGAATTTATTTTAGTTCGATTGTGTAGGAAGCTATAAGCTTAAAGACACACTTTCGAATCCGTTCCTGGAACCAACCAGTACTGAGCAATGAGTGTAAAGTTTCTTGCTCAAGGAAACAACGACTTGCCCCTGACGGGGTTTGAACCCATACGGCTAGCGATCATTAGATTACTAGTCTGACGCGTTAACCACTCAGCCATGTCACCACTTTTATTAAACACTTCCATTATCCCAGTTATACTGCAGTACTCAAACATTTTGCATTTGCATATCCCCTTATTTATACTTCCTGTGACTTTTTCAGCAAAGTTTTATTGTTTCTTGATACAGGAGATTCAGTGGATGGTGTGTTATTGGACCAATACCGCGGAAACAACACTCTACCTCAGCCTATAATATCACCAACTCCTAGTATATGGTTAAGATTCTGAACCGATGCATCCATCGTCGATCAGGGCTTTCATCTCTCGTATAATTTCACACGTAAGTGACCGAAATCATAGGGTTGAAATTCAACATTTTGAAAATATTCATACAAATGTAATAAATTCTGAAAAGTAAAATATTTTGGTCATTTTGCAGCATTGTTACGGAAAGTGAAAAAATCTAGCCATGGTAACTGAAATACCTATACTATTCATGCTATTCAAAGAATAGTATGGCTATCTCTTAGTCTAACTAATTGTGCTACACAATGAGTTAATGTGTTATTTTGTGTATGGGTAATATCTCCCCTCTAGCAGCAAGATTCTGACCCAGAACAAACATATCTCAGAAGTTAGCTTTGGTATGTCAATATATTTTGACTAGGCTATTCCACTCACAGCAAATCTCGATGTAATATTTGTGGTATAGTATTTACAAAAAACTTCAATTCTCATTTACAGCTTCAAAATTTCATGTCATGTTCAAATTTTTTAACCCTTTTAATGCTAGATTCATAAAATGGATGTTCCTCGCTTTGAATTTGGAACAGTTCACCAGTAATTAAAAGGATTTCATTAAAGCTATTCAAATATTGCTACATGTAAAAGTAGATAAACCCTTGTTTTAGTGCGATGTATTTTCTCTGCGAGTGACATTTGACCTTTGATATCAAGTATTAAGGTCATTTGTCTCTCATCACTGATTCAAAAATCATGTGGTAATGTTAGTAGTCAGACACTCTGTTCTGAGAAATTGCTTATTACTGGTTAGTTATCCAGGAAAGCTATTTAAGGTGGAGTAACTGCTGAGAAATGACCAAGAACAATGTGTAAAAATGCAAAATCAAACTGAACCAGTTTCATTATTTGTTGTATTTATTCTTACACTGCTGGAACTAAAGGTCATTGGCCTTGACCAGACTGGCCCCCTACCGGGAGCTCTTTGGACTTCAATTTTTGTGTTCTGATAATGAAATCACTTAACCATAATAAAATTGACCGTTCAAAGCTCAAGCAAGCCAAATCCTTTGTATAAATTCAACAGATTAGGTGAAGTAATTTTAGCTCGACAATTCGATAAGAAATAAGTAGAGCTATTGCTTGTCACCCGAGCGTCCGCATCGTCGTCGCGTTGGTGTCCCGCCGTCGGCGTAAACACTTATGTCGAAGTTTTTGTAATAGTTCAAATATTTTCAAAGTCCATTGACATATGGTTTTGAAACTTGCACACTTGTTCACCATCAATGAACCCCAACTGTATGACAGGAGGAGGTAACTGTATCAAGCATTTTGACAGAATTAATGTCCTTTTTCGACTTAGAATTTACGTTAAAGTTTTTGTAATATGCTCAAATATTTTCAAAGTCCATTGACATATGGCTTTGAAACTTTGAACACTTGTTCACCATCATGACCCACCTGTAAACAGAAAGGAGGTAACTGTATCAAGCATTTTGACAGAAATTATGCCCTTTTTCGACTTAGAACTTTTATGTTAAGTTTTTTGTAATAGTTCAAATATTTTCAAAGTCCATTGACATATGGCTTTGAAACTTTGCACACTTGTTCAGCATCATTACCCCAACCTTTAAACAGGAGGAGGTAATTGTATCAAGCATTTTTTTTTACTATCAAGCACTAAGAATAGTCGAGCGTTGCTGTCCTACCGACAGCTTTTGTTTTTTATTCCTATGTGTCTCTTTTACAGAATGTGGAGGAATGTTGACGGACCCCACTGGTGTTATATCAAGTCCAAACTATCCCAGTGATTATGATCATAATGATGCCTGTGCCTGGATTATCACCGCTCCTGAAGGAACTCAGATTGTGGTATGATTCTTGGAATCTTCTTCTTAGTTGATTTGTTAAAATGTCCTGTACAAAATTTGGTTTATGGATTATTCAGAATTTATTTTTTTTGATTGTGTACGAAGCTATTAGCTTATAAACATACAATGGAATCCATTCTTTGAACCAACCAGTACTGAGCAATAAGTGTAAAATTTCTTGCTCCTGTCAGGGTTTGAACCCATGCAGCTAGCGTTCATTAGATTGATAGTTAGAAGCATTAACCACTCTGCCATGGTGCAACTAAAAAATTAATTGAGCTAATTGAAGGATAAATCTTTTGTCATTTAAGTAGGCCAGCCACTTGATCGTTTATGAAAGTTAATATGAAAGTTAAGATAATCTTGCCCCTGTTTTCATAAATGAAAGTTATAAGTGAATTTTGCCCCTTGTGACCTAAAAATCAAGATTGTTAAAAATGGCCCTAGGTTTTGGGCAAAGAGTTATTTAAGTAAAAGCTGTAAAAAAATCTTCACAAGTGAAAATCAATAGTCTGAAGGTTAAAATTTGATTTCTTATATTGTTTAGCAGGCTCCTACAAATTATGGCACTGTAGTTAAAAGTGGCCTTGCTCCAGGTGTTATTTTGTGGTTCGACTTAAATGGGGACAAAAATCAAATTTTTGTCTATTGAAACTTAATCATACCCCATCCCTTTGGAAGTTTTTATCTACTTTATGTATTTACCAAGCTGATAGATATCATATATTCCCACTTTGGCCTCTTGTTTACTGGTTTACTCTCTTAAATTATATCATTTCATTCTATACAATGTATTTTGCCAGCTCCTTTTATAACTAATATTGTCTTTTATTTTGGCCTCCAAATGTTAGAAATATTAAACAGTTCTTGTAATTGTAAAAAACATATGCTATTTAAAGGCTCAACCCTAATGCATCAAACAAAATTATAACTTACACATCTTTCTGTCGCAGATTGAATTCACAGACTTTGACATTGAGACACATCCAGATTGTAGATACGATTATTTACAAATTTTCAACGGTCCTTACGCATCATCCCCTTCCATTGGTTCATTCTGCGGATCAACGGCACCCACAACAATACGCTCACAGAGTAATTCACTAAGACTGGTCCACTTCACCGATATGAGCATGGCCGCCAGAGGTTTCAGGCTAACATACACATTTACTACCCAGGGTAAGGATTGTTTAAAAAATAAATATATTTATCACATACCCATGCCAATTTTGCGACTCCGTAAAAATGGTATTGCATGGCCGTGCATATATTTTGATGTGATGTCATTTGCGTTATACAAACATAGTGTATAGACATGCTAAATGTTAGCGTTATACTATAGGCGCGTCAATGAAAATTGACTCTTTGTTCACTTTTAACAGTCTTTATTTTGGGTATGTGATAAATAAAATATTTAATCTGTGTAAGTTCATTACTGAATTTATTGATCCATTCATATACTCCATATGTTACTGTTGTGTAGTTTTTGCTCAAAGTGGAGAACATTTGTTGGGTACAGGAATAATTTCTATTCATCATTTTAGTTTTGTTGAGTATCCACATACTTCCAGTTTTCAATCATTACCACTTTTCAATCATCCCTAGAATTTTTTTATTTTTGACCTTATTTATCATGTAATCAAACTGTAAGCACATCTTGTATTTATCTTGACTACATTTATCAGCAGCAATGTCAATTATGACGATAAAAAAGAACATACTAGCATTTTAGTTCAAAATATGTGAAATGTGTGTTTTCCACTAATCCTTTATTTACCCAGTTACAAATTTTCTAAAAATAATTGATTTACAGACTCAAGTTTTTGTCAGTCTGCAGAAATGGATATTAAGTTGGACAACTGTTCAATATTTTTAAGTCATAATGTATACTGCACTGCTATAATTTTAATATGTACATATTTTACCATATAATTCTTAATTGGAAGTTAATACATAGAGGATATTCAAGTTTTTTCTATAAATACACGATTTATTTTCATCGAGTGGTATGAAAATAAATATTTCATGAGTGGCGGTAGCCACGAGTGAAATATGGTAATTTTCATGCCACAAGATGAAAATAAATCATGTATTTATAGAAAAAACTTGAATTTTCTGTTTATTATATACATTTTTCTCTTTCTGGACATTAAAATTTGCAAGACTTTCCCTTAAATTTTGAGTACTGGCAGAATTTAAAAGAAAGTAGTCCGGCAAGACACCAGTGAAAATACGGAAAATATGTTTCACTGCAGTGAAAAATAAACTTTTACAGTGAAAATACGGAAAATGAAAATATGCATTTTATTTCATCAATAGTTCTCAATATTTCATTTAAAAGTATATAATAAATCAGTAAAGTAACAGTCACTTAGCCAAGGAAAAACATTCTCTCTCATAACTTTTCAGAAAGCTGTCACTAGAATGGGGTCATATAGACCCTAAGATCCTAAAAAATTCACAAGAACATGCTTTTTCTGTTATGAAAATTGTAATTTTCATCCATACCCAAATCTTGACAGCTTTACTACTGCAAATAGATATCAAAATTGAAAAATGACATTTGAGATAGTTTAAATTGTTTATTACCATTTATCTGAAGTTGAGTTAGTCAAAATTTATTCAAAATACATAACTGGTGATATTTTAACACTGTATGACATTTTTTATGTGATACAGTATATATTTTGTTAACTGATTGAAAAGTGGTTGTAAAAACAGGAAAATGGGTTAGTAATGATTTGTTCTCGATTCATAATAATAATTCAGGAAACGTTTTAAAAAGTTGTTGCATTTATTAGCTGAAATGATAATATTTGCAGAATTGTAAGATAATTATGCCCCCACAATGTGGGAGCATAAAGCGTTGCACTTGTCCGTCTGTCCATATGTCTGTCCGTCCGTACGTCCAAAAATCTTGTTAACGTAACTTCTCTGAAACCGGATGGCAGATTTTGCTTAAAGCGATATTCAGGCAAAATAATGACAAAAATATTAAAATGATCTTTTGTACTCAACTCGCGCTAAAATGACATTTCTAAAAGTTTCAGCATGAATTTCTCTTTAAATTCTATATATTTTGGATTTGACACATAGATATATCTATACATGTTGAACAAAATTTAGACGCCCATAGAATAACCGAATAGTTTTAAAACAAGTCAGGTGACGTGAACAAATCCTTGAAGTTACATTAACAGATATTTTGGATATTGTATGATTGAAACAAGTCATAATCATTCATTTGACATGTTCTTTAACGTTTCCAGAGTTCACTGTAACAACTATTGTGAAGTCCTAGCGCCCTAACCTGACCCACGCGGGTCAGGTTAGGAAACCACCATTTTATTCTTTATATGGAGGAAAGTTTTGTTTCTTTGACTGTCTAATATATTCATTTTGAGGGCATTTACAGAATTAGGGATGAAAAATTCAAAACTAAGAAATGAAAATTTTGCCTGTGTCTCCCTTTGAACTTACAGGGATGAACAACCCTAATGTGTAGATGGTAGTAAAGGAAGGAGTTTTTGCTGCGACCAAATTTAATGGAATTATGGCCCTTTGAAGATTTTTTCAATGGAAACTATGTAGAAATTTTGTGAACGCAACCCCTGTTAAACCGGATGGCAGATTTTGCCTCAACTTACAGGGATGAACAACCCTAATGTGTAGATGGTAGTAAAGGAAGGAATTTTTGCTGCGACTAAATTTAACAGAATTATGGCCCTTTGTTGAATTTTTCACAATATACTATGTAGAAATTTTGTGAATGCAACTCCTCTTAAACCGGATGGCAGATTTTGCTTAATCTTACAGGGGTGAACAACCTTAATGTGTAGATTGTAGTAAAGGAAGGAATTTTTGCTGCAACCAAATTTAACAGAATTATGGCCCTTTGTTGAATTGTTCACTATATACTATGTAGAAATTTTGTGAAAGCAACTCCACTTAAACCAGATGGCAGATTTTGATTAATCTTACAGGGATGAACAACCTTAAGGTGTAGATAGTTGTAAAGGAAGGAATATTTGTTGCGACCAAATTTAACAGAATTATGGCCCTTTGTTGATTTTTTCACTATATACTATGTAGAAATTTTGTGAATGCAACTCCTCTTAAACCGGATGGCAGATTTTGCTTAAACTTCCAGGGATGACCAACCTTAATGTGTAGATGGCAGTCAATAAGGAAGAAATTTTTGCTGCAACCAAATTTAACAGAATTATGGCCCTTTGTTGATTTTTTCATTATATACTATGTAGAAATTTTGTGAACGCAACTCCTCTTATACCGGATGACAGATTTTGCTGAAACTTCCAGGGATTAACAACCTTAATGTGTAGATGTTAGTAAAGGAAAAAATGTTTGCTGCGACCAAATTTAACAGAATTATGGCCCTTTGTTGATTTTGAGATTTCAACTTGTGGCACATGTAGTCCAAAAAATATTTGACCTAGAGTCAAAAGATTGACAGAACAGTGGTGTGTGGGGGCATCCATGTCCTATGGACACATTTCTAGTTTTTTTTTATAATTTCACTGTCAGTTATTGTAGAAAAATCTGTTAGCCGATTGGAAAGAGGCAGTATGGGGATACTTTAAATCTATTTTCCTGTTCTGTACAGTTGCACAAGGGTAAAATGCAAGAAATGACCTTCAGAGTAAGAGAAGAAACTTTCCTGCCCACTCAATATATACCCTTGGATGGGCATTATGTCACTTTAACATTAGAAAGGTAGGAAAAGCTAAGGGATAGTTCAGTTCAACTGACAATTTTGTATCTCATCCTTTCAATAGGTTAATGAGTTTGTTTGGGTAGGTCTGCTAACTAGAGAAAATTGAAGTTACATGTTTTTGTTATTGTATTCTGTAAGGGACAGGCTTTAATTTAAATTTGCTAATGAGTAATAATGAAAGGTTCAGGTCTGCTAACTAAAGAAAATTGAGGTAACATGCTATTGATATTGTATTCTGTAAAGGATCGGCCTTATTTTAAATTCGCTAATGAGTAATAATGAAATGTTCGTGCCTTTAGGGGCAAATTCTTTAACCTTTAGTCTGCTTTGCAGCCACTGATTTTACCTGTGTCACCAGTGCTGGTCAAGATCTGTGCCATATGATCTTGTTTGTTATTCAGTCAGGATTTTTTCATGAACTTTTTCCAAAAATGATAAATGGTTTTGTCCAGAATGAAAGATAGACAAGTCTATTTAAGATGTTTAGCAAGGTTAAATCGTTTTGTGTTTTTTTTTCAAGTTGGCTCTTAAGTAGTTGTAAAAGGTACATACTTCTTGTTCATACTTTAAAAAAAGCATTGGTCCATTGAAATTAATAGATAAGAATATAACGTCATAATTTTGGGCACTTTTCAACTAAGAATAGGTAAAGTTCTATTAAATTTTATGCTTTGGACACCAAGCTATATAATGCCATTCAGAGTTATTAAATTTATATACTGATGGATTTCAATTATACATGTCATAAGAAGTTTCGTTTTCTTATAACATCATTGCACTTATATACAGATAAAGTGATATTTGTCTTCATTTAACCTTCGTAATTGCAAAACAAACAATATATTTTTTCACAAGGGGTGAAACTGAAATTTTACTGTGAAAAAAGCTAAGCCACTTTTCTACCTTCCTTATGGTATTCAGGTTTCTATAGCAACTTTGGCTATTTCTGGAAGCATTTGCTGTTTAAGCATAACAGTATAATCAGGGTGACTTGAAGCCCAATAAATTAATATTTTTAGCTCCAGTTGACCTTTTGCTATCACCCTTTATAAATTGTTCATAGTTTAGGCTGTCAAACATTTAGTCTTAACAACATCTGGTACACTTCTAGACCAAGAGTGCTAAAAGTAATAGCAGGAACATTCTGGAATGAACCTCTTTCAAAAATTGTTTCAAGAATTCCATTCAGAATGCTTGTTGCCATGGAAACAGAAGAAAAAGCTTAAAAGGTTAAAAATTCCTTTCCTAAAACCATTAAGGCCAGAACTTACTATGAAAACTTGGAATAAAACTTCAAATTCTGGGTTGAAACTGGCCTGATAATGCATGGTGGGGAATCAATTGATTTTCCTTATTTCTTTAAAAAAAATCGTTGCCCAAAATTGGGGACGCATCTAGATTTTGAATTGTGTTCTGTCTATAACTTTGTCATGAAGGATGGGATTTAAAATAATATTTGTATAAATGTATATCCAATTAGAAAAATGTGTTGTAAATGTGTGCAACATTTAGGTCAGTAGCTCAAAGCTGAATGTCATACTTTGACTTGAATCTTCAAAGGAAATTTTTAACAAAAGTGCTTTTATGTTTATGTTTGGTTTATAATTTTGTAATTCCAGGATGGAATTTAAAATGCTATTCATAAATGTGCTAAACATTATGACAAAGTGTCGCATCTTAGAATCAAGTCCCTAGCTAAAAGGGCATGGTCGCAAGCATTAAGCATTGTAGATCAAAAGTCTTTGTATGATTTTTTTTAAAAGTGTACTGATGTTCAATGTTAGATTTTTACCTCATGCATGCTATTAATATCATCTATTCAGTGTCATTTAGAGCTTTTCTAATACTCAGGTGAGCAATATAGGGCCATCATAGTTCTCTTGTTGAATCGATAAGAGCATTAATGATTTTAAAAAAGAAGAAATGGTGAATATTACTGAATTTTGATTTTAGGCTGTGGCGGAATATTCCATAGTGATGTAGGTAGTTTGTCAACTCCAAATCATCCGAGTAGTTATCCACACAATACTGAATGTGTTTGGGACCTCAATGTTGACTCTGGCTATACAATAACCTTGACCTTTAACCCACCATTTGATATGGAGCACCATGGAGCATGTGATTATGATTATGTGGAGGTAAGATTTGACCTTTGATTTGACTTTGACATATCTCATAGTGTCTGTGTGTTACTAAAAATAGAATACAAAGCATCCCCTTCATTTTTTTTTTTTTTTTTTTTTTGTATTTTCAACTTCATAATATTTGTATTTTGTGTTTCTTTTTAACCTTTGTCAAATATTTTCAAGGTCACTCAGATATAAGATACGTGTAATAGGTTTTATGGATGAATTTACTCTTATATATTTTTGTCCAAAGGAAATAGTTCTATGGGTAAGAAATAAAAAGTATTCAAAAAATATTCTTGCAAAATTCAAAAAATCACCTTACATACTTTGAGTACTTTGATTTTACTGAAGTAATTCATATATGCAGGTTAGTGACGTTCTTAGCAATGGTACTCAGGTGTCCTTGGGCAGATGGTGTGAGAATGTACTGCCACCAGTCACAAGGTCAACTGGTAACAGACTGATTGTTAAGTTCAGATCTGATGCTTCTACAAATGGAAATGGATTTTCAGCTGGGTGGAGTGCAGGTAGATTTATCTAAATTTTTACCAGATTGAACATTTCTTCTTTAAGCAAAAATTCACTGTTGTACACCTATTTTAGATACATACTCAATTTTATATGTTTTTATTGTTTCCTGTCTTTAAGTCATTTGATACATGTCAAACTCAATACTTTTTATGCCCCCATTTTGAAAAAAAGGGGGTATATTGCTTTGCACTTGTCGGTCCGTCGGTCCGTCGGTCCGTCGGTCCGTAGACCAAATGGTTTCCGAGTGATAACTAAAGAACCCTTAGGCCTAGGAAACTTCAAACTTGGTATGGTGATTGGTCATGACCAGTAGATGACCCCTATTGATTTTGGGTCAAGGGTCAAAGGTCAGGTCACATTGACCTTGAAAGCCCAAAAACGGGTTTCCGATCAATAACTAAAGAACCTTAAGGCCTAGGAACTTCAAACTTGGTATGGTGATTGTCATGACCAGTAGATGACCCCCTATTGATTTTGGGTCAAGGGGTCCAAAGGTCAAGGTCACATTGACCTTGAAAGCAAAAACGGTTTCCGATCAATAACTAAAGAACTTAAGGCCTAGGAACTTCAAACTTGGTATGGTGATTGGTCATGACCAGTAGATGACCCCTATTGATTTTGGGGTCAAGGGGTCAAAGGTCAAGGGTCACATTGACCTTGAAAGCAAAAACGGTTCCGATCAATAACTAAAGAACCTTAAGGCCTAGGAACTTCAAACTTGGTATGGTGATTGGTCATGACCAGTAGATGACCCTATTGATTTTGGAGTCAAGGGGTCAAAGGTCAAGGTCACATTGACCTTGAAAGCAAAAACAGTTTCCGATTCAATAACTAAAGAACCTTAAGGCCTAGGAACTTCAAACTTGGTATGGTGATTAGTCATGACCAGTAGATGACCCCTATTGATTTTGGAGTCAAGGGGTCAAAGGTCAAGGTCACATTGACCTTGAAAGCAAAACAGTTTCCGATCAATAACTAAAGAACCTTAAGGCCTAGGAACTTCAAACTTGGTATGGTGATTAGTCATGACCAGTAGATGACCCCTATTGATTTTGGAGTCAAGGGTCAAAGGTCAAGGTCACATTGACCTTGAAAGCAAAAAACAGTTTTCCGATCAATAACTAAAGAACCTTAAGGCCTAGGAACTTCAAACTTGGTATGGTTGATTAGTCATGACCAGTAGATGGATTTTGGGTCAAGGGGTCAAAGTCAAGGTCACATTGACCTTGAAAGCAAAAAACAGTTTCCGATCAATAACTAAAGAACCTTAAGGCCTAGGAACTTCAAACTTGGTATGGATGATTAGTCATGACCAGTAGATTATTGATTTTGGGGTCAAGGGGTCAAAAAGGGTCAAGGTCACATTGACCTTGAAAGCAAAAACGGTTTCCGATCAATAACTAAAGAACCTTAAGGCCTAGGAACTTCAAACTTGGTATGGTGATTGGTCATGATCAGTAGATGACCCCAATTGATTTTGGGGTCAAGGGGTCAAAGGTCCAAGGTCACATTGACCTTGTAGGTAAAAACGGTTTCCGATCAATACCTAAAGAACCTTAAGGCTTAGGAACATTAAACTTTGGTATGGTGATTGGTCATGATCAGTAAATGACCCCTATTGATTTTGGGGTCAAAGGTCAAGGTCACATTGACCTTGTACATAAAATACGGATTTCCGATCAATAACTAAAGAACCTTAAGGCCTAGAACTTCAAACTTGGTATGGTGATTGGTCATGATCAGTAGATGACCCGTATAGATTTTGGGGTCAAGGGGTCAAAGGTCAAGGTCACATTGACCTTTTAATTTTAAAAACGGTTTCTGATCAATAACAAAAGAACCCTTAGGCCTAGGAACTTCAAACTTGGTATGGTGATTGGTTATGACCAAGCAGATGACCCCTATTGATTTTCGTTAAGGGGTCAAAGGTCAAGGTCACATTGACCTTGTAGGTAAAAACGGTTTCCGATCAATAATGAAAGAACCCTTAGGCCTAGGGACTTCAAACTTGAGATGGTGATTGGTCATGATCAGTAGATGACCCTATTATTTTTGGGGTCTAGGGGTCAAAGGTCAAGGTCACATTGACCTTGTAGGTAAAAATGCTTTCGGATCAATAACTTAAGAACCCTTATGCCTAGGAACTTCAAACTTGGTATGGTGATTGGTCATGACCAGCAGATTAACTCCTATTGATTTTGGGATCAAGGGGTCAAAGGTCAAGGTCACAATGACCTTGTAAGTAAAAACGGTTTTCTGATCAATAACTCAAGAACGCTTAGGCCTAGGAACTTCAAACTTGTATGGTGATTTGTCATGACCAGCAGATTACTCCCTATTGATTTTGGGGATCAAGGGGTCAAAGGTCAAGGTCACAATTGACCTTGTAAGTAAAAACGGTTTCTGATCATAACTAAAAGAACGCTTCGGCTAGAAAACTTCAAACTTGGCATGGTGATTGGTCATTGACCAGCAGATGACCCCTATTGATTTTGGGTCAAAGGTCAAGGTCACAATTGACCTTGTATGTTAAAACGGTTTCCGATCAATAATAAGAGAACCCTTAGGCCTAAGAACTTCAAACTTGGCATGGTGATTGGTCATGACCAGCAGATGACCCCAATTGATTTTGGGGTCAAGGGGTCAAAGGTCAAGGTCACATTGACCTTGTAGGTAAAAACAGTTTCTGATCAATTTACTAAAAACGCCTAGGCCTAGGAACTTCAAACTTTGTATGATGATTGGTTGTGACCAGCAGATGACCCCTATTGAGTTTTGGGTCAAGGGGTCAAAGGTCAAGGTCATGACCAGTAGATACTTTATAACCCTTATTAATTGTTTGATCACTGGGTCAGACGTCATGCATAATAACCTTATCACATGACTAATTGGCTGCTGATAGGGGGCATACATGTTTTACAAACATATCTTGTTTATAAATAATTTAAGCTGCAATAAGTTGCCAGCCTGTTACCTGATGAAATTTTTAAATGAATTTGCCCACCTTCTATTTTTGGAGCTGTCCATTATCAGTTTTAGGGATATTAAGATGAATATTTAATGGCGGTGTGGCCAAGTGGTTAACATGTCAGACTAGTCAGCTCAGGATTGCTGACCGCATGGGGTAAAACCAGGGAAGAGAGTCAGGGGCAAGCTTTTGTTTCCTTGAACAAGAAACTTTACATTCATTGCTTAGTACTGGTTGGTCCCAGGAACAGAGGAATAAGATGAATATTCAGTCAACCACCAATATAAAGCCTGGTCAGACAGCACAGTTATACATGTTGTACTTCATTTTACACTGTAAGGGAAGGCCTATCACTATCAGTTGCATCAGATTTAAGGTTAATTTGGTAACCATGGCAAGAGTAAGACCAGTGCATGTTCATGCACTGAAATAAGATTATTGTGTTGTAGACTGTTCAGTTTTATGACTGTTTCTAAGGTAACCTTAATTGACAAGTAAGGTGTTCGCAGAATTTGAGCCGCATCACGACAAAACCAACATAGTGCGTTTGCTACCAGCATCCGGGCAGTCTGATCAGGATCCATGCTGTTGGCTACAGTTTCTCTACTTGTAATAGGGTTGATAAGCGAACAGCATGTATGCTGATCAGACTGCGCGGATGTGCAGGCTGGTCTTGATCCATGCTGGTCGCAAAAACACTATGTTGGTTTTGAGGTGAGGCGGCTCATTTCTCTACCACTTGAGTGGTATTTGCCATAATTTTGTATGTTAAATATTATTCTTCAAATCTTATAGGTTGTGGTGGTGTGCTAACAAATCGTCAAGGGATCCTGCTCTCGCCAAGATTTCCCAACAACTATGAAAACAATCTACGCTGTAACTATACAATAAACATGGACCCGCAGCATTTCATCATTCTTCGATTCGATCCTGACAACTTTGAACTTGAGGGTAAGTGACAAATATACAATAAAATAGCAAAAATAATTATAATATAAATTGGCACACTTCCAGCTTCGCTATTTGAAATTTTGTGTGGACGTTTAACTCCTTCAGTCTTTAGTGACAGAATTATTGTAACAGTTGAGGTTTGCCCCCCAACATTCATGCCTTATTAAGCACTAAAAGTATTTCACTTTAAACTAAATTCCTTGGATAGTCCGCTTGTGTTGGATGGATTTTAGGGTGAAGGTTACTGATGCTAAAAATAGATTTTTACACTTTTGTTCATGCAGCCTCCTTGATTAAGCAATGTCATATCATAACCTTGTTTTGTCCTTAAATTGTTGGTGGGGTAAGGGATCACTTTGGTCAAGATCAGTGATGCTAAAAATAAAACTTTACATATTCCATAATAAATGTATGAGGATCATCCATGACCTTTAGCAACCTGTCTTGCGGTTTTTTACAGGGGGAAGAAATTGCAGATATGACTGGGTTGCAGTTTTTGCCGGTAACAATTCAAATTCGAGACAGCTCGGTAAATTTTGTGGCAACACTGTTCCACAGCCTCTCAGCTCTCTTGGACAGATGTATATACAGTTCTGGACAGATGGCTCTGTAGTAAGAAAAGGGTTTAGGGCATATTACATGTAAGCATGAGATCTTCTCAATTTCTTAAGGTTAAATAACCAATTTACTCACTGAATTTGTATAATGGAATTTTACCGCCGAATATTTTAATCTTCACATCTTATTTATGCATTTGTTGTTCATACAGGCTTAACGTAATTCTCACCTGGCTCTAATTGCATTAATCAAACAAACCACAAAATTAATTAAAAGTATGACTTAAGCAAACAATCAGTGTTAAGAAATTAATTATAATGGATTTTCAAGTCTAAAAATTATTTCAAAATGTATGTAATTGAATACTTTGTAATCGTACAAAAAAAGCTCTTTTTGTGTACATGTTCTACTGGTTCCGGACCACCAAAACCGGACAACCACTAAACCCGAACGTTCCCGAAAATGCTTGATTTAGTATTTTCTTTATTCATTGGTTGTCAGTCACTTTTTTATCAACAAGAAATGCATGTTTCTTCTATAGTTAAGAAAATGAATTTATTTTAACCTCCGTAAATGGTAATATTTTAATGTCTATTTCAAAAAAACGTTGCGTTGAAATTTGGTCGCCAAGAAAGCTATGCCTGACCTCATAATTTCCAGCTATAATCATTTGCAGAGTAAACAGTAGAATATCCAGAATTTCAGCATTTGTTACTAAAATATTGTATATTATGTTAAAAACCAAAAATTGAAATCACATCATGTACATATCTGTCCAGACACATGGTACTGTAGTGTAGACAATTAAGGTAATTTTGATACCCTCCCTGACGAGCCCCAGATATAAGTGTCAATACAATCAGAAATAAACAAACTAATTTGTTAGTTAGGAGAAGAGCCTAGCTGTAGTGTTTCATATTTTTAGGTCTCTTGGTTTGAAATTATGAAATCTGTGAGGAAAAATGTTCAAAAAGTGTCCGGTTGATGGTCCCTGACCAGTACAGTAATGATGTTTTATATGAAAGATGAAAATATCAAATCTTGATTATGACTGTGTGCATGAGTTTCAAAGAGTGAAAAGTTAAATGTGGACAATATAAAACAATGTGTTTCGATAAACACAAATTTGTGTGATTATAATGATCTGAACATTTTCAGGGTCAGCGAGTGTGGCGGGGTTTTCACAGATCCATATGGTGTCATAGAGACTCCAAACGGACCTACAGACTACCATAACAACCATAATTGTACATGGAGCATCACCGTTCAACCTGATCGGGTCGTAGAAATCAAGTATGTTATTATGGAATTGTTTATATGACCAGTCCAAAGTTTACCACCTAACCCATTTCGTCATAGAGATGTCTTTTCAGGCTTTTTCCTCCCCCACCCTCCCTCCCCCTTTTGAGGCCTCAAATAGTGAAAAAAAATGCCCTAACTATACCCAAAACACTTGTTTTTCATTTGAGAAATGGTGTTTAAAAAAAAGTGATCACTTTTTAGCGCCATCTCCTATCAGAAAGATACATTAAGGGGGTGCCAGAAGGGGGATATGCCCCCTTCTGGTTTGGGGTTTGAAGGGGGTCATAGACCCCCTCATCTCCAAGAAAATTTTCGACTTTTGAGTGGCTAAAAATGGCCTCCGGTCAACTTCAAGGTAAAGTGTAACCAATGCTGAAAAGCCTTTGATCTTAATCCGTTGAGAAGTTGCAGCACTTTGGAATCAGTTTTGATGGAAAAACTAACACACAATAGTGCTTTTTGGCAAATTTGAGATGTCTCCTCATTGCCATGGTAACAGGAAATTTCAGATTGAATATGCTTTTCAAGGGTTTGGTCAAGTCAACATTTTAGCCAAGTTTGAACCGTATTGAAGCCTTTTTTTATGATTTCAAAATGCTCATGAAGTAATGGGTTAATCTGTGTTTGTCCTGCTTAGAATTTTGATACATTTGAGTAAAAAAGACAATCAATATGGTTGTGACATTGTTTCTGACTTGTCAATATGACATTCTGTGACTAATGCTTGTAACATTGTCTCTGATTTGTCAGTATAGCACTCTCTGACTGATGGTTGTAACATTGTGTCTGATTGGTCAGTATAGCACTCTTTCACTGATGGTTGTGACATTGTTTCTGACTTGTCAATATGACATTCTGTGACTAATGCTTGTAACATTGTCTCTGATTGGTCAGTATAGCACTCTCTGACTGATGGTTGTAACATTGTGTCTGATTGGTTAGTATGACATTCTCTGACTAATGGTTGTAACATTGTGTCTGATTGGCTAGTGTGACATTTTGTGACTGATGGTTGTAACATTGTGTTTGATTGGGTTATTATATAAAATATTGAGTGGACAGGGTTATAATTTGAAATCTTGAGTGGTCGCATGGCCAAGTGGTGAACACATCAGAATAGTAATGTAATGTTCATTATAGATTGGGTTTAAACCCCATCAGGGGCAGGCCCTTGTTTCCATGAGCAAGAAACTTTACTCTCATTGCTGAGTTCTGGTTGGTTCCAGGAATAGATTTCAGAATATTTAGAACCTGCACAAGGCCTTATATGATTGGTTCTGTCTGTACTTTTACATTTGATTTAGTATGGGCTTTCCTGATGAAATAAAACTATGCAATTTTTAGCTCACCTGAGCATGCTCAGGGTGAGCTTTTAGGATCAATGATTGTCCGTCGACCGTCCGTCCGTCGTCCGTCCGTCGTCCGTCGTCCGTTCACATTTAGTTGTTAACACTCTAGCAGTCGCATTTTTGCCTCAATCATCATCAAACTTGGTCAGGATGCTTATCTAGTTCATAGCTCGGATGAGTTCGAACATGGGTCATCTCGGATGAGAAACTAGGTCACAAGAGCTAAAAATAGAAAAACCTTGTTAACACTCTAGAGGTCACATTTTTGCCTCAATCATCATCAATTTTGGTCAGGATGTTTGTCTAGGTGATAGCTCGGATGCGTTCGAACATGGGTCATCTCGGATGAAAAAGTAGGTCACCGGAGCTAAAAATAGAAAAACCTTGTAAACACTCTAGCAGTCACATTTTTGCATCAATCGTAATCAAACTTGGTCAAGATGCTTGTCTAGGTGATAGCTCAGATGAGTTCGAACATGGGTCATCTCGGATGAAAAAGTAGGTCACCGGAGCTTAAAATAAAAAAACATTGATAACACTCTAGTGGTCACATTTTTGCATCAATCATCATCAAACTTGGTCAGGATGCTTATCTAGTTGATAGCTCGGATGAGTTCGAACATGGGTCATGTCGGATGAAAAAGTAGGTCACCATAGCTAAAAATAGAAAAACCTTGTTAACACTCTAGCGGTCACATTTTTGCATCAATCATCATCAAACTTGGTCAAGATGCTTGTCTAGGTGATAGCTCGGATGAGTTCGAACATGGGTCATCTCGGATGAAAAAGAAGGTCACCATAGATAAAAATAGCAAAATCTTGTTAACACTCTAGCGGTCACATTTTTGCATCAGTCATCATCAAACTTGGTCAGGATGCTTATCTAGTTGAAAGCTTGGATGCGTTCTAACATTGGTCATCTCGGATGAAAAAGTAGGTCACTGGATCTAAAAATAGAAAAACCATGTTAACACTCTAGAGGTCACAATTTTGCCTCAATCATCATCAACTTGGTCAGGATGTTTGTCTAGGTGATAGCTCGGATGAGTTTGAACATGGGTCATCTTGGATGAAAAAGTAGGTCACCTGAGCTAAAAATAGAAAACCTTGTTAACACTCTAGCGGTCACATTTTTGCATCAATCATCATCAAACTTGATCAAGATGCTTGTCTAGGTGATAGCTCGAATGAGTTCGAACATGGGTCATCACGGATAAAAACTAGGTCACAGGAGCTAAAAATAGAAAAACCTTGTTAACACTCTAGTGGTCACAATTTTGACTCAATTGCCATCAAACTTGGTCAGGAAACTTGTCTAGGTCATTGCTGGGAATAAATAGAAAATGGGTCATCTCGGATGAAAAACTAGGTCACAGGAGCTAAAAATAGAAAAATCTTGTTAACACTCTTGTTGCTACTGTTTTGATCCAAGTATCCTGGAAATTGGTCTGAAAGTTTGTTTTGATGATTTCTAGGTCAGGTTTGAATATGTGTCACCTGGGTAAGAAACTAGGTCGCACTGCTCAAATATTGATAATCCTTGTTAACACTGTAGTGGTCACATTTTTGACTCACCTGTCATGAGACTTGGTCAGAATGCTTGTCTAGGTAATTGTTTGGATGAGTTTGATAAGTCAGGTGAGCGATCTAGGGCCATCATGGCCCTCTTGTTTTTGTAATCTTTTACATTTATCACATTCAGTTTGAAAGATGGCACAATTTATATAGTAATAAATTTCCTTGTATTTAATGATAGAATGTTTGCTGTGATTGACCAATAAGAACTTCATTTTGATTGGGTTAAATAACAATGATGTCATTAATTTTAAATTTGTTTTGCAGATTCCAGATGTTTGATCTAGAAGCTCACTCTACTTGTGCATACGACTATCTTGATGTATACGACGGTCCATCTCTAACATCCCCTCTGATTGGACGATATTGTGGTGATGTTGTACCAACGGACCAGATCAGATCAACTTCAAATACCATGACAATTAACTTTATTACTGACTTCTCAGTTACTAGTGCAGGATTTAGAGCTGTTTATAGGACAACGTTTGGTTAGTATTATCTTATGCTTACGCTATCAGTCAGAGCATTTTAGCAAATAGATATCAATTTTTGAGCTGTGTTAGTAAAATAATGCATGGTCCTCAGCTCAAATGTGCAGTAATATACCCATAAAAATTGGCAGTAATATAGTCTTGATTGCACTGTAATATATATAAATATGTACCCTCTTGCCAGGCATTTTAACAATAAATCATGAATTAGTGTATTACAACTTAAGAATAAAAAATATCTATTTCCATTCAAAACAATTGCATATAGAAAGAGTATGAATTAAACAATATTTTAAAGTACATTTAGCACGGTCAAGATAATTTCAGTATCATTTGGTTTATTTACATCACACCTAAAATGATATGACATGCAAACATTCCTTCTTATACCATCCATTTGATAAATCATATATTACATCACCTTAGTGCAATAACTGGTTAACTCCTATAAAATTTAGAAGGACTTAACCCGTTATTGCACTAAGGTGACAAATTATATAATATGGTGTAATATTGCACTGTGCTGCCAAAGTCTGTTTAATATAGTGTGAAGTGTGAATGACCGCTAACAGCACACTGTTCTTTTATTATTTTAAGGTCAGAGTCATGGATGTGGCGGCATACTTAACTCAACGAGTGGTTCGCTACGATCTATAGATAGTAACGGAGACGGTCAGTATGAGAATAACCTGGACTGTCGATGGACCATTGTTGCTAATAACAATAATGTTATACGGCTAACATTTACTGGATTAGAATTGGAAGACAACCCATCATGTATATATGATTATATCAAGGTATTAAAAATGGTCTTCTGAATCTTGTCAAATATGGGTTTTTCCCCCCATCTAAATCCTGAGGTACAAACTTTTACGTTAAAGCTTCCTGGTGCTCTGCCATTCACAATAGAGTGTTTCACCGTTCACTACCATTCACATGATACTTAAAAATTTCTATTATGCTAAAACTGAATATAAACAAATTGTTTGATTCATAAGATATAGAAAATTATATTTTTAGTTTAAACTAGCAAAAATGAAGCACTTTGGCTGTTGAATTTGTAAAGATTGATGGGGAAAAAAAGTGATTTATTTAAGGAATGTATTTTTACTTTGAGTGACTTGCCAAATAATATTGCACAGTTCAGATGTGCAGTAATATAATTACTAAAGCGATTGGCTTGCATAAGAATACATAGGATTGAACACTACATGTACCATGCTGTATATTATTCACTTTCATAATAATACATTGAGTATGTAAATTGAAAGAGAACATTAAAATTAAAGGGGGTACATTTAGTGAAAAAGTGATTTTCTATGCATCACTTGCTTTATTGATGTCATTTGTGCCTTCCTTTTCCTAATTCTGAATATTATTACATTATTTGATTGGCGTCTATGGCAGAATGGTTAAGATCGTTGACTTCAAACCACTTGCCCCTCACCGCTGTGGGTTTGAATCCTGAGGGGGACTTTTGATTTTTTCATGTGAGGAAGCTATTTAGCTAGCTTACAGAATTTTGTTCTACTGGTGCATGACATAATGAACAGAAACTTATAAACCTGGAATGTTGCAATATGACCTATACTGTGTCAGTGCAACATAAAACCCAATTACGCAAACAAACAAACATCATTTGATATTTGATACTTCAGAACTTAGTCTTTTGTAAATAGAAAAAAAGCTAGAAACATGGTTACATAAGGAATAACCTCTTTTTTTATACAGATTTACGATGGAATGACTGATGAAGATCCATTAATCGGAACCTACTGTGGATCTAATATACCACCTGTGTTTACGTCAACATCAAACATTCTTTACGTTCAATTCTACACTGATGTGTCAATAGGTGCCGCAGGATTTAACGCTACATACACTCAGCTTCCTGGTAAAATCCCGTTCTTTAAAAAACTTTCTCCCCTGAATTTCTAAAATTGACTTTAATTTTAGCTCTTATTTTTAAAACGTCTATTATCAATTTTTGGGATAGTAAGATAAAGTTTGAAGTACAGTCAGCTGACCTGGCTCTATACTGTTGGCAAAGGTTTATCACTTTTGTTTCCAGCAGATAAAGGGTTAACCTTTTACCCCATGAGCATATTGCGAAAAATGGCCGTTTTCATTGAAAAGCCTCCTGTAACAAGTTCAAACTGCTATGAAACTATGAAAAATGCTTCAATATTAATGAAACTTGGCACAAATGTTGACTAGACCATAGCCTCTGTAACAGCATGCTCAATGGTAAATATCCTGTTACCATGGCAACAGGGGGGGTCTCAAAATTGCCAAAAATCACTATTTTGCATTGTTTTTTTCCATCAAAACTGATTTCAAAGTGCCGCAACTTCTCAATGAATTGAGATACTGAGTTAAAGGCTTTTCAGCGTCGGTTACTAGTTACCCTAAGATCGACCTGAGGCCATTTTTAGCCTGTCACATGTCCAAAATTTTCCTGGAGATGAGGGGGACTTTGCCCCATCTTCAAACCCCCCAAACAGAAGGGGGCAAATCCCCCTTCTGGCAACCCCTGATGTAATATTTGTAAGGGAGACGGCGCTGAAAAAGTGGTCACTTTTTTAAGAACATTTCTCAAACAGAAAACAGTGTTTAGGGCTTAAATAGGGCATTTTTTCACTGTTTGAGGCCTCAAAAAGGGGGAGGCAAAAAGCCGTCAAAACACGCTTATATAAGGGAAAATGTTAACAAAAAATGATGAAAAACCTTTGAATTACACAAAAACTAGATTTTCCATGATAACACATGCCCTAACACCGAAATTTGGTGGAAAATCGTTTTTTTTTACATTTTTTATTTATTTAATTAATTCATTGTCTTTCTAAATGAACATTTACATCAATATCTGCCATTAAAGAACTAAAACTTGAAAAAAATCTCTTTATACCTTTCAACTACATGTATTTATGCATATAAAATTTCAGAATCACATTTCTTTTATTGAAAAAGACACTAACATTTTGTAGTGTGTAATGTATGGGTGACAGTTTCGGCACATTTTTGAAATATGGCTATTTTCTGATATTTTCGGGATCATTCATTCCAGCACAGAAGTGTTAAATAGTGACTATCAGTGAGACTAGTGCTAGGGGGCATGGGAGATGTTTATAATTGTGCTTGTACATTATATCTTATTTAAACAGACTCAATCAAAACAAGTCTGCAATTTTCATATAATATTATCATTTCATTACTTCTGAGAGATCGTCCATTTTCCAGATTTCTTTTTTTTAACCATTAGCACTATTAAAAGATGAATCTGTATTTTATACACTGTATGTGCCTTTATAGACTGTTTCGAGTCATTAAATAGTTGTACAATTATCTGCATGATTTGAAGAAGAGAATGAAATGTAAGATTATAACATATGAAAAAAATCTTATTCAACAAGTATCAACATTGATGAAGATCTATAACGGGCGTAATACATTTTTTTTTCAAAATCAAAGGTGCATGTGGGGGCACTTATACATCATCGTCTGCCCAACAAGTGATAACATCCCCAAGTTATCCGAATGCTTACCGCCAGAATGTTAGATGTCGCTGGACCATAGATGCACCAACAAACACTGATCAGGTGGAATTGACTGTGGCCGCGCTTAATCTGCAGACGACATCTGGTTGCTCACCAGAATATTTGGAGTTTAGAGATTATCCTCTTGTAAGACAAATTTTGTTTTTAATCCTTATCTTACAACACTAAATATCCAGAATGGATTTGTTCATTTTTCAATCTCGACAAAACTATTCAACAGTTTCAGGGAAATTTTTCAAATGTATACTTAATAAATGGGAAACAGTGCAGACCTTGATCAGTTCAGTCTGATGTTGGTCTGCACTTGGTGCATTGTTAGATTCAATTGCCAGTAGCAGAGAAATGGTTAATGAATTTTATTAGAAAATAAAGATGATAATAGAATAAGAATCATATTCACCAGTTGAAAAGTCCATATTTATTTTTTGATGGAATCTATATATGATAGCTTTTAAGTGAAATTTTTAAGTACAAGGCTACTAAAACCTGAATCTTTTAACTGTTGCTTAAGCTTTACCATCTTACTTCACTATTTTACTTATTTTCTGGATTAGGGTTCTTTGTAACATACTTTAGCAGTAATATTTCTTGATTTAAAATAGATTTAATCCTGGAACTCGTCCAGAGCCTAGAGACAGTAGAAATAAACATGTGTATAATGTTTATCTAGATAGGTTAATGTAAAATCCAACAAGTCCTTTCTAAGAAGAAGTGGAGGCATCGCTTAAAGGTTTAATACATACAACTAATAATTTATAGATGGCTAGCTGCGTGGCTTCAAGCTCCATCAGGGGAAATCTGTTATTTCCTTGAGCAAGAAACTTTATACTCATTGCTCTGTACTGGTTGGTTCCAGGAACAGATCCGAGAGTGTGTCAATAACTAGTTAGCTACCTTCACAATCGAATTCTGTATAAACTACTAAAAAGTTTAACCAATATTTACTTTTTTACATGTTTTCATTATCTAGGGTTCCCAAGGGCGTATAGTTCATGCCTGTGGAGTTACCCCACCTGGTGTATTTATTTCAATTGGAAACACTGTGCAGATAAATTATGCTGCAACAAATGGTGGCAGCACTGGATTCTCTCTCAATTATCGTACTGCAAGTGAGTTATTTATTTGTTTCACTATCTTAATGCTGAAGACTTGATATCCATTATGCCTCAAAAATGCTTTTATTTTTATTAAAAGATTAGTAATTTTGTTGTATTTTTTATAATGTCCAAAAATTTACTTATTGGCTAATTACCTAAACCATCTTTTTCATCTGTTGTTTTTTGTTTGTTTTTTTTTTTGTCAAAAAGTACAATTACAGTGATTTATTATGGTAGTAAAAATACTACTTTGTTTACATTTTGCTACTTTTATGACAATTAATTTCACATTTATTGCTACTTTCTTCAGATAACAAGTATCTATTATTCTCTAAAACCATTATTTTAACATTAAAAAATTCATGTTTCCCCTTTAAAAAGAAGTAAATATTTATTTGTTTCTGAGGCAAAGTGAACCTTTTAGTAGAGATTTTATTGTGTTAAGAAATCTAATTATAATGAACTCTTACTGTGTTGAAATCTTCTTGTGTCTGACGGATCATGCAATAGCATGTAGTCTGAAAAGTATATATGAAAGATATATGAAAATTTATATGAAAATTTAATAGTTTTTTTTGGGCCAAAAAGTAACTTTGGTCTGTCCGTTACCCACATAGATGTAGACACATAGATTTCTGCTTGAAATGGACTTTGCTTCTGGTCAGTAGTTGACTCCTGTTGATTTTGGCTTTGTTAGGTTAAACAGTACAGTGACGTGTGATGGAAAATTGTTGTCCGGTCAATAACTTTAGGATAACTTTGGTCTGTCTGTAAACAACATAGATGTAGGATGGTAATGGACATTGCTCCTGGCTGGTAGTTGACCCCTGTTGTTTTTGGTTTTGTTAGGTAAAACAGTACAGTAACATGTAAAATTGTTGTCCGGTCAATAACTTTAGAATCACAAGGACTACTTTGGTCTGTCTGTAAGCCACATAGATGTAGGATGGTAATGGACATTGCTCCTGGCTGGTAGTTGACCCCTGTTGATTTTTGTTTTGTTATGTGAAACAGTACAGTAACATGTAATATTGTTGTCTAGTCAATAACTTTAGAATCACAGGGATTTTTAAGGTATCTGATGATATAGAAATATTTCATACATAGGTCATCATTTCCATTAGAAAATTACCAGTATCATTATTTTACTTCTTCAAAAAAAATACATTCTGATGTATATTGCCCAACCTATGTGCTGTTGTATTTGGAAATTGAAATTTATTTGAATGGACTGTTCCAAATTTAAAGCTTTGCAAATCCATACAAACAGATTTAACAGCTCAAGGGTTGAAAGGACTCAACTAAAGTTATTTTGACATGACAAAACTGAAATAATTTTTTTTAGATTAATGCTCCATTTAATGAAGTTCTAGACCAGTAACTTGTGTGCAGAATTTCCCTCACTCTTTTATTTCAAGAATGTTTTCATACTCCCCTCAAAAAATTTTAGGGAGCAAATAGTCACCTTGGGGATGTCCGTCCGTCCGTATGTATGTACTGAATTTTTTGTCCAGCCCATAACTTTGTTATTTGAAGTCGGATTTTACAAGTGTTTCAAAGAAATGATCACCATATTGTGACCATGTGTCGCCTGCAGCATTTGGGATTCTACATTGAAGGTCAAGGCTACAGCAAAACCTTGAAGCAAAATCTTGTCCTGCCAATAACTTCATTATTTGTGGTTGGATTTTACAACTATTTCTCAGAAATGATCACCATATTGAGACAAATTCAAGTGTGAGATCCCATTGAGTAGTAGTTCAGTGCAAAGAACAGTAACTATTCCTTACTAAGGTTGGAATTATCATATTTTGAACTTTGTCTTGGACATAACTCTCAAAACTACAAAAGATATACTTTTCTGTGTCCAAAACCTAGTTTGGGAGCATTACCAAGTTCAACCGGCTCTTGTTTCTAATTGTGAAAAATTAACCAAAATTGAAAAATTGAGTTGAAGTAGCCCAAAAATATGATTTTAAATAAGTTTTGGAGTATATTTCTTTATTGTCTTTTGCATATCTTTCTGTTTTGAGTGTTCAAGGTGATCTATATCAGAAATCAAAATTTCATGTTTTAAGGTTTTTCAGACCTCGTTGGAGTTCCTTTAAAACAGTTAATTTTGGATGAAGTGGATAATTGATATCCTCATGATTATGTGGGATTATGGGATTGTTTTATGCTGTAATTTTAATACAGAGAACCCTAATATATATAATTAAAAAATATTGTCACATATACTGATAATATATTGCCATGATAATGTATTTTTTTTTGTTTTGTTTTAAAATAGCTTGTAACAGAACATATACGGGTTTAAGTGGGCAGATTTACAGTCCCGGATGGCCAGGTCGGTACCCGCAGAATGCTAATTGCCAGTTTAGAATACAGGCACCAGTTGGTACTACAGTTTCACTCTACTTCAACACATTCCATATTGAGCCTCATACAAACTGCAACTTTGACTATCTTCAGGTGAGCTTTGTATAACTTGTTTATTATTCATCTTCTATTTTTTTTAGGACTATTATTTTTTAAGGAACTAGACTGAGGTCCAAAAGCATAAAAACATCAAATTTAGATTTTTTACATACATCAACTTGGGTACTTAAAAAATGCATGTAAGGCACTTAAAAATGATGTGTGTGTTTTACATAAAGATATTTTTTCTGTTAAAACTGAATGAGTAAATGATCTGAAATTTTGACACAAGTTTTTGACCCATTGCTACATCAAAGAGTACATTATTATAATATCTTGTAATAATATTTCCAGTTCTGTTATTTCTAAAAACCTCAGTTGAGTCACTTTAATTAAGATCTCTTTTTTTAGAAAGAGTTCGTGTTTTTATTTTGCATAAGCCATCATAAAAGGCAATAAACTTTATTCAGTTCAAAAATTTCAACTTGTAAATAGAAAAATTGTTATATAAAAATGAAATTGTTATATAAATATTTTGTACTTACATAAAGCCATGCATTTTATTGATTTTATAATTTTCCTGTTTGATGTGGTCAAGATTTAAGACAGGTAGAGGAGCATCTCTGTCTGAGTAGTTGAGGTCTTTGAAAACACTTGCCTCTCAAACCACTTGCCTCTCACCTCCAATTTTTAGTATAAGTGAGCTAGCATTATTCTGCAATGATCACTGTATAGAAATGTGTACAGGTAATTCTCAGTTTTCAATACTTCAGGTAAGGAATGGATCTGAGCATGATTCCCCGGTTATCAGGAAACTGTGTGGCTGGGTTCTACCTGACCCAATATTTGCAACTACCAATACAGTGGGCTTTAGCTTTGTTACAGATGTGTCAGTGACATATCCAGGCTATGATATAACTTACACTGCAACTTCACAAGGTAAAGGTTTCCAGCAAAATTATGACATCATTTACAAATACCTTGTAATGCAAAAACTGTTATTATTAGTTTTATCTTTTGTCGTTTTTTTGTTGTTGTTTGTTTTTGTTTTTTTACTTTTCTTAAAACAACAATTCAAGATATTATCAATTTTCTAATTTACCTTGATAAGATTTTACGTAATTATTTTTTTTCATTTGGTCTACTCAAGATTTACAGCAGTTTCTTTTTCTTAGATTAGAATTATATCAGATTATGAGAAAACTTTTTGTGGACCTAGATTGACTTTTGCTGACATCCCATCAGATTTTCAATAAATACTCAAACATCAAAGTAACTTGTTCCCTTATTTGGACATGCCCATAAAGGGACCAACCCTCAGTTGTTGAAGAAGCATAATTTTTCCTCAAAAAATATGTTGTGATTCAATTAAAACTACTAAAAAGTATTTTTCGGATATGATAACTATTTCCAATTACTCTAAAATTTCCAGTTTTGTATCACTTTGATCTGTATATGAAAGGTATTAAGAAATCTGCATCAATATGTAGTTCAACATAAGCCTTTGCTAATGCTAAGGACCTGACATAGTGTAAGTGGAGGCTACCATTTGTAGTATCATAAATGCATGTTTTAAGAAAACACATTTAAAAAAAAGAATGCAAGTCATTTTCTGAAAATAAGGGCAAGAAGTTGTGTCGAAGTGTTTTTATGCTCCCCGAAAAAAATTTCGGGGGAGCATATAGTCGCCGCCTTGTCCGTCTTTCCGTCCGTCCGTCCGTCCGTCCCCTTTTCTTGTCCGGGACATAACTTTGAAACAACAAGAGGTATCAACATGAAACTTTGTAGGTAGATAGATCTCATTAAGTAGGTGTGCAGTGCACAAGAACTCTGCCTTGCCTAATTTTTGAATTATTCCCCTTTGTTTATTTTTACACTTTGAACTTTGTCCGGGACATAACTCTAAAAGTATAAGAGGTATCAACATGAAACTTTGTAGGTAGATAGATCTCATTGAGTAGGTGTGCAGTGCACAAGAACCGAAACTCTGCCTTGCCTAATTTTTGAATTATTCCCCTTTGTTTATTTTACACTTTGAACTTTGTCGGGGACATAACTCTAAAAGTATAAGAGGTATCAACATGAAACTTTGTAGGTAGATAGATCTCATTGAGTAGAAGTGCAGCGCACAAGAACCGTAACTCTGCCTTGCCTAATTTTTGAATTACCCCCCTTTGTTTATTTTACACTTTGAAATTTGTCCGGGACATAACTCTAAAAGTAAAAGAGGTATTAACATGAAACTTTGTAGGTAGATAGATCTCATTGAGTAGAAGTGCAGTGCACAAGAACCGTAACTCTGCCTTGCCAAATTTTTGAATTATCCCCCTTTGTTTATTTTACACTTTGAACTTTGTCCGGGACATAACTCTAAAAGTATAAGAGGTATCAACATGAAACTTTGTAGGTAGATAGATCTCATTGAGTAGGTGTGCAGTGCACAAGAACCGTAACTCTGACTTGCCTAATTTTTGAATTATCCCCCTTTGTTTATTTTACACTTTGAAATTTGTCCGGGACATAACTCTAAAAGTATAAGAGGTATCAACATGAAACTTTGTAGGTAGATAGATCTCATTGAGTTGGTGTGCAGTGCACAAGAACCGTAACTCTGCCTTGTCTAATTTTTGAATTATCCCCCTTTGTTTATTTTACACTTTGACCTTTGTCCGGGGACATAACTTTAAAAGTATAAGAGGTATCAACATGAAACTTTGTAGGTAGATAGATCTCATTGAGTAGGGTGTGCAGTGAATAAGAACCTTAACTCTGCCTTGCCTAATTTTTTTAAATTATCCCCCTCTGTTTATTTTTACACTTTGAACTTTATCCGGGACATATTTCTTAATGTATAAGAGATATCAACATGAAACTTTGTAGGTAGATAGATCTCATTGAGTAAGTTTGCAGTGCACAAGAACTGTAACACTGTCTTGCCTACTTTTGGAGTTATTGCCCTTTGTTCATTTTGACACTTTGAACTTTGTCTGGGACATTACTCTTAAAATTTATAAAGACGATATTTATACATGAGAACTTTATGTTCCGGCGTGACAGATATTTAAGATAGGTCCATATCGGGTGGAAGTGCATGCATCAGAAATCAATACATCCTGCCTTGGTCTTATTCTTGATTAGTTCAATTTTCACCCAACTTAGATTTACTTTCATATTACTTAGGTTTGGATACTATTATAGTCTCGAGACATAATGGATTTTAACAACTATTTAGGATTGTAGATATCAACATGAAACTTGTAGGTAGCTAGATGTAATTGGATAGAACTGCAACGCTTCAAGAACCTAAACAAAGCCTGGTCTAATTTTGGAGTTATTGCCCTTTGTTCATTTTTTTATACTTTCCTGTGTCCAGAACCTTCTCGGGGAGCATCACCCGGTTCAACCGGTTCTTGTTTCTTTTTTAACATTTCTAGTACAGGAAGAATAATAACTCAAAATTTCATTGTTCTACCCAAAAAAGGTTTTGAATAAATATTTGAAATTTCACAAATTTATATTTGACATTGTGCAATTTTTCCCTTAAAAATAAAACTTAGGGAGAATATTATATAGACTTCTCAGTATCATTGTAAATTTATGTGAATCTAACTTCAGGTGTTGGCTGTGGCGGGAACATAACTGGAATCAACGGCAGTTTTACAAGTCCTGGTTACCCAGGTAACTTTACTTCAGCAATCACATGCTCATGGATGATACAGGTACCAGCTAGGAGGGTGATTACATTACTTTTTACTGATATGAGAAATGGCGAGAACTGTGGGACAGATTATATCATTGTCTTTGACGGAAATAACGACTTGACAGATCAATTTGGCAGATACTGTGGTGGGGTAAGTGAGGTAGTTTTATTAACATTAACATCTAGAAATTACATGCATACAGTAAGCGTTGTTTGTAGTTTTTTTTCTCTTTAGTTTAATATCACTGAGGGCTAGGTAGTTAACATATTTAGATATCTGATATGAGTGGTTTTGAAATTTGTATTATAATTAAGATAATGAGTGCTTCTTAAATATAATGTTGATTATTTTTCATGATTGAAAAAAGCCCAATTCTGCCCTAAATATAAAATAACGATTAAGCTGAAATTGTGCTTAAGGGCAATGATTTAAATTAACGCGGTTTATTAAATATTTAGTATAGTGATATAATTTTCATTTCAGGAGGTACCTGCTCCCATGTCTACAAGTAGTAACGTGGCTTTCATCAAGTACGTGTCTGATGGTAGCGGATCATCGATAGCCTTCAGACTCACATTCACGAGCTAATAGACTAATATACAATGTGAAATTTTAAATTAAACCTTCAGTACAGATAAACAGAAAAACCTAACATGATACATACATGCACAGGCTAGAATCTGTGTCACAAAAGCCTAGCTGTATCATTAAGTCATAACATATGAAAACATTGCAGTACTCTTAAATTCCAAACAATTAAAGGTCCATTAAGCCTGAAAAATGTTATCATTTCTACATTGTATTTTTAAAAGCTTCCTATTCTGTTGCCCCCTAAAAATTTCGAAAAACAGAGGAAAATTAGTTGGCGAAATACATGTACCTGAGTCTTCTTTTGCTTCTTTTTGCAATTTGACCAATAGTACACTTATAGAAGTCTAAAGAAGTCTTAAGCTCTATTTTGTATGGCAGTCAAAATGCCACTTTATTTACACTTTCCGACATTTATCATAAAACATTACAATTTTTACATTTATTCAGTGCTATTTCCTTTAGGTTACCTTGAGTATAAGCAACACACAAGTTCCAGACCCATCATCTTACAACATGATAAACGCATGTTTACCTTTTCAACAGAAGGTTAAAAATATATATGTCTGCGGTATAACGTGCCTTTAAGTCACCAATAGTGTATATAATATATATATTGTGTAAATATCTTTCAATTGCTCCTGTTTTTATAGGCATATTTTTAGTCTTCATTGATACAGATGGATTATTTATGGAAGATATTTGAGCTATGAATGCTCAATATTGAACTGATTAAATGTTTTCTAACCAATCACAGTTGAAACCGCATTTAGTTTAAGTCAAATTAAATTTAAGGAAAGAAGACCAGTAATTTGTGACTGTAATTCAATGCATTGTTGATTGAAAAATCATTATTGTGCATTGTGTAATATATTTGAGGGGATTAAAGTACATGTACATGTGATATACATGTTTTTAAGGGGTTAAAAGTACATGTACATGTGATGCATTTGATTTGTTACAAAGTGCAATAGTTAATAAAATGTGCAATAAATGTTGATAAGAATGTTATTATACTGTATCATTATATGAATTATTTCTAATATTTTGTAATAGTCACATTCCTTGGGCTTTTTTGTTATATAATTTTAGCAACTTTTGTTATTGTAAATTCCGAGGACTGGCCTGATAATTTGCAATATTATCACAGTTTTGTTCATGATTATTAGCATTTGTACTATAAACTCACATGTATATTTGACATTTGTTGTAACAAAGGTATATGTACACTACTATCTTATGAAATAAAATATTTTATTGACTTCATATGTTGTGTTGTTTCATATGTTGTGTTGTGTAACTGTTGGTCTCATCACTTTCATTATCATCATGACAAAAATGCTCGGGGAGTCCCCACCAGTACTAACATGGCTGATCAGTCACCGTATGGCGTTTGCAGTGTTGGTTCGACGTTAACACAAATAAAAATAAATGTGTGTACATAGCACTTCTAATAGGCCAAAATCTCGTTTTTTTAGCTACAGAATATTCTGTAGTTGGCAATGCTCAAAATAAGTAATTTTATGGATTTTAGCTCGTCTGTTTCAACAAAATGTCGAGCTGTTATGACCGCTTTGTCGACATTCTTGTCGTCGACGTACAAAAACTTCAATGTAGCCCATTATCCAATTATTTCAAACTGGATATCAACTCAGTATTTAATTTACATACTTACCATTGCAAGGTGCTGATGTAATTATTTAAGACAAGGAGCGTTATTCTGAAAGTTATTCCCCATTTTCACTTAAAATTGTGTTTAAAATACCTATGTAGGATGATTTCAAAACTATTAAAAAGCTATCATCATAAAACTTGGCACACTTTATTATCATGGAAAAAAGGAACAAAAATTAAATACGGCATCATCCTGATAAGCAATAAGAGCTATGCCCCCTTTTAGATAGAACATTGTCATTCATAGCCATTGCCCTGAATAAGTAGACGAACGTTAACACCCCGTCCGGTGCTCTTGTTTTATATTTAAAATTTTGTTAGAAGTAGTATCTTTATTTATATCTTATCATTGCATATACATGATAAAACATTAATTTCTGATTATGAATTTTTAAAACAAAATTAATATATTCACTGCATTTCCATATGGAATTATATGAAATGGTTATTAGAATTTACATTTAAATCGAACAGATAATCTTAACAAAACATGGTGTTAAAATATGGTGCAAGAATAGCATAAAACAATTTCTAGTAAAAAATATATAAATACATTTAAAAGCACGATTATCAGCATTGAATTACTGGTGTTTAAGAAAATTTTGACGTGATAGAAAAAGATGAATTTATAAGGTTATACATGAATATGATATAGGTTTACATTTCCCATCCGTTGCCATATTTCATTTACGTAAGTTTAATGTTATGCAGACTTTCACTTATCCTGCCAACATTTACTTGATACATTTTAACATCTGCGTGTTGTATTGGACTGGTCGTACTATAAATCCAATGGCATCCTCTCGCTCCTTTCGTTCAATCTTCGGATATGATAATGAATAATCGACGAAGGGTTCCAAATGTTACTGACCGAAGCTAAGCAGTCCAGGTAAATAAATAGTTGTACTTTAGTTAAATACTATAGACGTAAACCTAGTATTAATTGCCCACCTGCTTGGGGATGACCTTTTAAAATCACGTTCGTTAGCCATATAAGCTTTTGTCTATTTTCATAAAACTAATTTATAAATCGAATCATACTATAAGACTTGTAAACATTTAGCAGAGGACAATTCTGCTTAAACGATATTTAATATCTAAATTTATTTCATTTTGGAAATTGATGAGGACTTTCTTTCTATATACCATGTGATTGACCAAAAGTAATTTCCTTTAAACAAATTTTAGTTCGTCTTCTACTTAATCCGAAGAATTTACATTTTTTAGATGTGATACGTTGCATATTTCGCAAAATAATAATAATATTTCGAAATTTAAGATCCTAAAAGTGAAAAATATTCTTAAACGTTATTCAATGAGTTTTATTTGTAAAACATGTATTTACATGTAACAGATAACGTCTAACTAATAAAATAAACGATGTTGTTGAACCAAATGTCTATGCAGTGTCTTTTAAATATGTTGATGAAACAAAACCAAATATAAAAACTAATAACCCAATGGCCTTAAATTAATCTTGATACAGATACCTGTTTCTTTGTTTAGCATTTTTCGGATCAGGGAATTTTTTTTTTCAATATTCTTATAGGAATAACATAATTGTTTTTATTTTCAATATTTTAAATGCCCTTTTTTTTAAACAATAGCCCGCTACCAGAACATTCTGCCAATGTTATCGGTGCAAAGCAAGATCAGCCGTGTATTCCGTGCCGTGTGAAACTGTTGTGTACTGGTTGCTATTTCAGTCAGTACATATTTTTGAATTTTTTCCTTCAAAACGATGAAAGGCTTTGTCCAACTTAAAAGATGGGGAATCGCATATAAGATATTTACCATATAAAGTGCTAATAACCTTTGAAGCGTCTATTTCTGTATCAAAATGAGTCAAACTGGAAGAAGTACTAAGACTTTATCTCCCATTCTCTATACCTCCTTTATCACGAAGCTTTCATTAGCACATTTCTCACCTTTTGCATATATAAGACGCATAGCATTCTGCAATTCTCATAGAACTGAAAGGTCCTTCATTTGCTTATCATCATGTCAGATGAGATTATTTTATCGTGCAGTAGTGGAACTGTGCTGTGCACGTTATCAACTGTTGCGGACAAGGAAAACAAAACTCATTCTTCGACCGGAAGTACTCAAGAATCAGGCAGTATTTCGTCGGTGTCTTTACTAAATGTTTCTCCAATACTGCGGAATCTTGCTTCAAGAGTGTTTAAGTCACTCAGCTTATCAACATCGTCGTTTGGTTCTATGTTTCAACCAAGTTCACCGGGATGTGACACAGGAGACTCCGTCAAGACTTTAGATGATAACAAGATTACAAATCCATTCCACAATAATCCTTCTTCTCCGTGCCGATTATTTGCTGAATATACCCGAGATAAGAAACCAAAGATGCCATTCTGTGAAGGGTACGACGGGGTTAATATGCGAAGGACAAAAACCATTTCAGAGAGTATAATTCAGCTTTTAGAAAGCCGCTGGAGGAATGGGGAAATATCAGTGAAGAAGAAAAGTTCCGCCAGTAAAGCTGGCCAGTCTAATGATATGGCATCTGCTTATTTTCATCGTTTAAAAGAGCTTCAAGAAATGAAAGAAAACATTGACGATAAAAGAGTTGACGAAGTATTTTACTCGGACGAGGAATTCTATGAAACATCGTCTGTTGAAAACGGTGACATGTGCGTTATGGATCAATCACTTATGCGCAGTGAACGCAGTTTATGGGCAAACAAGTACAAACTTGTGAAGGTCCCGTCAAAAGAATACTTATCCTTGATAGAAGATCGCGGCATAGAGGAGGCAACAGTTGATCTGAAACTCCGTTATGATCCGAAGACTGAATCCCTCCAAGTAACAATTTATAGAGTTGAGGATGTAACAAACTTACGCAATAACAACAAACTTATAGACTGCCAAGTACATGTGAGTATGTATCAACGCACTGGTGACAAGAAGTTAAAGACGAAAATCTCAAAACGCTGCCGAGATCCAGTTTTTAATCAAGTGTTCCAAATTAATAATGTAATTGAGAAATGGCTGCACGTACAATGTTTACACGTAGAGCTGTACTGGAAAAAGAGGTTTGAAAAGGTGCGCATCGGACAAGCCTTCATTTGGTTAGACGACTATGACATTGTGAGCAGAGATAGCATCAGCATTACTGAACGCTTTAATCCATGTTATTAATATGATGGTTGTTTAATTTTAAACCTAAATCAACATATTCTCCTCTTGTTCCTATAATGAAATCATCTTAAACCATTGACATTATGATTAAGTTAGTTTTAAAATAAAGCAGCTGTCTTTTCCTGGCGATTCTGTATCTTTTATTAAATATTTTCCAGCATAGAAACTGTATTTTTGCCTGGCTACTACTAAAAGGTGTGTTTATTTTTCACGGCTTATTAGACAAAATTTTGTGAGGTTGAAATACAAAACTCAAATCTATCCCTTATCACTTTCGCCTTAAACAAATTGAATTCATTATAAAAATGTATCCTATTTATAAACATACACATCAAATGAATTGTAACATTACATTTAAAAATGATGTTAAGTATAATAAAATATATTATGTTGAATTATAACTGTTTTTCTCATGTTTTACGCCTGTTAAAACAGTTTAGTCACATCTTAGTGTTCCTTTGACATTTTTAGACAAATAACCAGAGATAAGCAATTTCTCCACAAGTGACCGACACTTATACCACATACACCAGTGGTGAGAGACGAATGATCATAAGATTTAATATCCATTATTACTTGTCACAGAAAATAATCCTTTCACCCGAGGATCGAACCAGTGCCCTCTGGTTTTAAAATATGTTTATTAACACGTAACCTAATTGAACCGAGAACGATTAGCCTTGCCATCATTTTAAAGCAAGTCCAGACTGCACATCCGTGAAGTCCTTTCAAAGTCGGGTTGTCTCTTGCAATTTCGAAGCAGAAAATCAACACAGTCTTTAGATTGTTGATTATTAAATATTATCATAATAACCCTACTGAGATAAATATCATTCACCTGTAGGGAGTAACAAATTGTCAGTATATCCCGTAACGCACATGATAATCGTACTGTGGTGATAATTATTCACCTGTAATGAGTAGCAAATTGTCAATTTATATCACCTTGTATATCCCGTAACGCTGAAATTGTAGAAACTGCATGTTACGGCCATATGGCAATGTTTTAGTTTTACTGGTAGGAGAAGACACATCAGCTGACAATTCGTGTATTACATTAAGACAAGAGCTGCCACAACCGTAAGCTTCCCGGATTGCTTCCTAACATAAAAATATCTAACCATGAACATAATTCGAACGTACAATGGTGGATGGCAAGCTCTTTGAAGCACTCTACCATGGGAACCTTTGCTTATTTCCTAAGGGACGTTAACAACATGATTTGAACAATCTTATATTGTCAACAACAAAAAATTTGTCTGTACTATCTGCATTTAATTTATTTTAATTAATGCAATGTGCTGACAAAATCTTACCAGTTAGCCATCTTTTACAAAAGATACTGATACTTTCCATATAAATAGACTCCACTGAGGGTGTTATTTTTTTGACATGACGGGACAAGAAATATTTTTTCAATATTTGAGACCATT